ATTGTAGCATGCTAACCTTGTTTGTCTTGTTTGTCCTATTCATGGAAGTGGACAACACAGCGAAGCAGTGTCTGCCTCACAACCAATCAGCACTACGGAGCAGCGTCCACCTTACAACCAACCAGGTTAGGGGAGGCAGAGAATGGCTTTGTTTACAGTCAGAAAGAGCAGGGGTCCGTTTCACGTAGCAGGTTTAATGGAAACTCAGTCTGTTAACCCTGAAATCAGGGAAACTCTGAGTTTTCCGTTTCACAAAGGAGGGTCAGTTAAACCAGAGAGAGAGCGGTAACTCTAACCTGTTTCACAAAGAGAGGTAACTCAACCTCGCGGTCAGTTACCATAGTAACAGACTCCGTGAACCGAACCTGGGGCCTGTTCTACGAAGCAGGATTACTGCTTAGCGAGGTAACTTCGAGGGTAAGTTCGGGGTTTCCTGTTCTATGACGCGGGTTCACTTCTTAGCGAGGCGAGTCTCCATAGCAATATACGCTGAACGGCTAACCTGCTCCGGGGCAGGTTAAGTTCCAGATTGAACTCAGGGAGTATAAAAACCCCGCCCACTGACCAATGAGCTCTCTCGAAAAACGGCTTGTCCGTTCTTGGAGGATCCTGTAGACCTCGGTGCTCGCATTGTCCGAGGAGCACTCCGGCTCGCGAGAGTTTACAGGGAGAGTTTTCTCCGGATGACCACCTTTATGAAAGGCTCATATGACCGACATATTACACAAAACATGTAAACACGATAGGAATAAACAAATGAATGATTCATCTTGGGAATGAATGGGCATGGGCTGCGCGATCACAGACAACATCTCGGTACTATTTATTAGCAGCGCACGCCCCTTATAATAACCCCGTAAATACTGTTGTTCAGGACTGCTTACTTGTGCTTCCTACCCAGTGTAACAACCGTTGTTCTTGCCCACATGCAACATTTTTGTTCTCATTCATGAAACGCTTAAATCAGGGACATTTTCGGGGACAGCTTTAGCCGGGGACAGATCATCCAATTCGGGGACTGTTACTTTAGTTAAAAGCGCATGTTGAACAGTGCTATTTCAGGGTGATAATGGCATCAAAGATTACTTTTCTGCCAGAATTCCCTCCGTGCTTTTGCAGCGGCGACGGTGTTGCTTTTGAGGTTTATGGTAGCAATCAATTCTTCATACTTTCTCATGATCGTCTCCTGCTCCTCGTTTGTAAAGTCCGCGGTCCTTCACTCTCCAGCCTGCTCTGACGCTCCAGACTGATCCATGTTCGCGATTGGTCAGATGCGGCGGGCTCTGCCTTATATGCGTGCACACGCTCATAGCAGAGCTGGATCCACTTATGAGGTTGATAACCAGCGTCGTAAAACCACTTAGCGAGACCGCTGGCTACCGCGCTAAGTTCAGAGAGGTAGCTACCTCGCTAGGTTGAACCTGCTTCGTAGAACAGGCCCCTGGTCGGGACCAGGTTTTACTCAGAAAACCCAGAGTTTCAGGTGAGACATCTGCATTTTCTCATTTTGATCATGCTTTACATTGTCAAGTTAGTATTAAGTGGCAGTTTGATCCCTTACAAAATGCTCTTTTCACACTCAAAAATGAATTTTACTCTCTTATGATGTTCTGTTAAATGATTAGGAATATTAAACTAACACTCAGTATGTATATGTATATATATTAAACTAACAGCTGCAGAGGAGCTGCCCCCCCGTTCGACGATCGCGGCCGGTCCGATGTCTGTTTATGTGGCGCACATGGGCTGCACCGCAAGGAGCGCAAGCAGAGTATTAGTGTTAGTGAGTTCCGAGTTGTCGTATGCAAACACACAGCTGATCAATGAGCCCCCCTTCAAATCACACACCACCACAGATAGATTCCCCACCAATGGGAAACACTGCACTGTCAAAAAATGCTAAAATAATCTAGTTGTAGTCTTGTAAATAGTGACCCTGCAAGATTCACAGTCTTTGTCAATTCTCAGTCTCAATCAATCAAATTCAATCAAATTTTATTTATATAGCGCCAATTCACAACAGTCATCATCTCAAGACGCTTTTCAAAGAACAAGAGCAGGTCTAGACCACGCTCATTGGTTGATGATCAAGAACCAACCTAAGATGGGTTTTGGCCCATCTCAACTAACATGAGTAGCAGTGGCAAGGAAAAACTTCCTTTTAATTGGCAGAAACCTTGGGCAGGACCAGCCTCATGTTAGACAGCCACCATGCCACTGCTGGGTTGGGGAGGAATGTAGAGAGATGGAGGGAGAGAGAGGAGAGAGAGAGAGAGAAGAGGGGAGAGGGCAGGGGGAGAGAGAGAGAACAAGATGAGGGAAGGAGAGAGAGAATGAGTAAGGAGAGAGAGTAGAGAACGAGAGTGAGAGAGAGACAGGGGGCAGCAGAAACAACAGCAACAACAACAGCTCATGTAATGGTGAAACAAAATGAGTTCAGTTTACAGGGTTAGGATATGAGTGATTATGGACAATGTTAAATTAATTAAATGTGATTACAGTCAGGAGGCCTAATCATAGTCAGCTCTAGTTTTATGTTATTAATGTCAGTGAGGCTGATGTTCATGTCTGCAGTAACAGTCCAGAGGAATCCAAGAGAAGAAGGAGCTCAGGGCCTGAGGCGGACAATCATAGATGATGTCAGGACAGGTCTGCAGCAGCCATCAGTCCAGAGCAACTAAGGGGCAGGGGGTGTCTGCAGCAACAGTCCAGGGGAGCCTAAAAGATGGAAGAGCTCAGGGCCCAAGGTGGACAATCAGGGATGATGCAGCTGGTGTCAGGCAGTTCCGCAGCAGACCGTCTGCAGCATTAGTCCAGTGGAAGCTAAGAGACTCAGAGACACTCAGAGAGACAGAAATCTGGTTAGTGACTTATATGGGACATAAAGATCTAAAGGAGAGATAGAGACAGACTCTCGCTCAGTGTGCCAGATAACCCCGGCAGTCTAGACCTATAGTAGCATAACTAAGAGCTGGTTCAAATCAGCCCCGACTATAAGCTTTATCAAAGAGGAACGTTTTAAGTCTACTCTTGAAAGTTGAGAGGGTGTCTGCCCCCCTGAGCCTCGAGCGGTAAATGATTCCAGAGGAGAGGTGCCTGGTAGCTGAAAGCTCTTCCTCCAATACTACTTTTAGAGACATTTGGTACAACGAGCAGGCCTGCAGACTGTGAGCGTAACGGTCCAGACGGAACACACGGTATAACAAGCTCATTGAGATATGATGGAGCCTGGCCATTAAGCGCTTTATATGTCACAAGGAGGATTTTAAACTCAATTCTAGATTTAATAGGGAGCCAATGAAGAGAGGCGAAGACAGGAGAGATGTGCTCCCTTCTTCTGGTTCTAGTCAATACCCGAGCTGCTGCATTTTGGACCAGCTGAAGAGTCCTTAAAGACTTACTGGAGCAGCCTGCTAAGAGAGAATTACAGTAATCCAGCCTAGAGGTAACCAAGGCATGGACTAGTTTTTCCGCATCACTCTGAGACAGGATGGGTCTAATTTTTGAGATATTGCGCAGGTGGAAAAAAGCTATCCTAGAGATTTGTTGAATGTGGGGGATAAAGGACAAATCCTGATCAAATAAAACTCCCAGATTTTGCACAGTGGGGCTGGATGCCAGACTGATGCCATCTAGCGTAGCTAAATTATTAGAGAATGCCTCTCTAAGGTGTTTAGGACCAGGGACAAGAACTTCAGTTTTGTCTGAGTTGAGCATCAGAAAGTTGTTGGTCATCCAGGATTTTATATCTTTGAGACAAGCTTCTCATTTGGCAACCTGGCCTGCTTCCTCTGGCTTCATGGATAGGTATAGCTGGGTGTCATCTGCATAGCAGTGGAAATTAATCGAGTTCTTCCTCATAAATTTACCCAGAGGAAGCATGTACAAGGTAAAGAGGATCGGTCCAAGCACTGACCCTTGCGGGACTCCCAAGCAGACCTTGGTGTGCGCAGAGGATTCATTATCAACATGGACAAACATGGATCGATCCACTAGATAAGATTTAAACCAGGAAAGAGCGGATCCTGCTATGCCGATAGATTGTTCCAGTCTCTGAAGCAGGATGCGGTGGTTGATCGTGTCAAATGCAGCGCTAAGATCCAACAGGACAAGAACAGAGAGAAGACCACTGTCCAAAGCCATGAGTAGGTCATTTGTTACCTTCAGCAGAGCAGTCTCCGTGCTGTGATGGGTTCTAAATCCAGACTGGAAATCCTCCAATAAACTGTTGTTATGAAGAAAATCACAAAGTTGATTCGCAACAACTTTCTAAAGGACTTAAAGAAATAAAAGGAAGGTTGGATATTGGTCTATAGTTAGCTAGGGTGCTTGAGTCAAGAGTCAGTTTTTTAAGGAGAGGCTTAATCAATGCAGTCTTAAAAGACTGGGGAACATATCCTATTAATAAAGACATATTGATCAAGTTAAGCAAGGATGTACTGATCAAAGGAAGAGTTTCCTTCAGCAGTTTAGATGGAATTGGGTCCAGAAGACACGTAGATGGTTTGGCTGCCAGCACCACTGACTTTAACTCAGGAAGGTCAATAGGTGCAAAGTTAATAAGGTGCACCAGAGGCCTTAGGGGCTTCTCAACAAGTTCAGGGTTATCTAAGAGAGAGACACCTGATGAAGGCAAGAGGTTACTAATTTTACCTCTTCTTTTAAAGATTTTTTTCATTGAAGAAGCTCAAGAAGTCATCGCTGCTGAGGGCTAATGGGATACATGTATCAGCACAGTGCTCTGACAGTCCGTCAGTCTGGCCACCGTGCTGAAGAGATATCTGGGGTTATTCTTGTTTTCTTCAATAAGAGACAAGTAGTAAGTTGTCCGAGCATGTTGTAAGGCCTTTTTATATTTATCAAGACATTCCTGCCAGAGAAAACAAGCTTCAGCTGTTTTAGAAGAGTGCCAATCCTTTCTCATCTTGGTATGTTTCAGCTCACGGGTTTCAGCATCATACCACGGAGCCAGCCTCTCGCGTGTAATAGTTTTCTGTCAAAGAGGAGCAACTGAGTCAAGGATTAAAGCAGTGCGTAGGTCCATGTACACACTATGTAAACCCAACTGAGTCTAGCAAGGACAAGAAAAAAAATGCTTAGGCTATCATTTTCCACATCCACATGAATATTAAAGTCACCAACAACAATGACTTTGTCTGCAAGAAGGACTAGATCAGATAGAAACTCTGAGAATTCTGACAAAAACTCAGAGTATGGGCTGGGAGGGCGATAAACTATAGCAAACACCACTGGTCTCATGGTCTTTGAGGCTGGATGCGGAAGACTGACAACAAGACTTTCAAAAGAGTTATAATCTAGTTTTGGTCTTGGGTTAATTCCAAGACTGGAATTGTAAATAGCTGCAACTCGACCACCTCGGCCAGAGTCCCGAGGAATGTGAAAGCTTAGGTGGCTAGGAGGAGTGGATTCATTCAAGCTGACATATTTATCCTGATGCAGCCAAGTTTCGGTTAGGGAGAGTAAATCAATGCGATGATCAGAGGTTAGTTCATTTATTAACACAGATTTGGAACTTAGAGACCTTATGTTCAGTCGACCACATTTTATCTTACAACTACTCGGTTCAGCTATGTTAGCAGTTTTAATTCTAGTAAGGTTCTTGTTATTTACTCCTTTGTTAATCGATCAGATAGAAATAAAGAGCCGAGGACGAGGGACAGACACAGTCTCTATATTAAAGTGACAGTAGCTCGGAGGCTGCTCTAACAAAAGTGCAGAGGAACGTGTAGAACTGCGGCTATGCTCCCTGATCTCTATATCAAACTGATTGTAGCTAGGAAGCTGCTCTGAAGGGAGTACAGAGGGGCGTTTTACACTGCAGCTCTGCTCCCTTGTCTCTGTATATAAGTGGTAGTGGCTGGGAAGCTGCTCTAAAGGAGGCGCAGGGGGGGCGTGTAGGACTGCGGCCCTGCTCCCTGATCTCTGCTTTGAATTGTCAGTGGTTCAGACTAATAAAATCAACCAGATTTCAGACATTTAGCCTTTGCCAGCAGTTTAAACTACCTTTGATGTCGCCCGCTCTGGCCCCTTGAAAGACACTGAACTATGGCCGCTGACTTCGCTAATTTCACATTTCGGACTACAGAGTCTCCAATCACAAGAGTGTCGGGCTCAGCAGGTGTGTTGCTGAGCGGGGTAAATTTGTTTGAAATGTGAATATGGTGGTCTAACGTGGGCTTCTTAGGCCTGCTGCTATGCTTCTCTTTCACAGTGACCAAGCCACTACTACATCCTGGCTGCTTGGGATCGGTTGGGGGGGAAAGCTAAGCTAGGCTGCCCTGCACCGGCTACCGTGTCCTGGCTGGCTACCGCTACTCTAGCATTGGTGCGGAGCCGCTTTTCTAACTCTGTAATCCTCACCTCCAGAGCTAAGAATAAATTACACTTCAAGCAGGTATCGTTATCGTCTAAGGAGGACGAGGAGTAACTAAACATCTGACACACTGAGCAGAAGCAAGCAGGAGAAGCAGGAGACCGGGGGGAAGCCATCGTTAGCAAGTGAAGCTAAGAGAAGCTAAGCTAAGAGAAGCTAAGAGCTAGTACAGTAAACTACCAGAGAGATCACCCGGAATGGAGATAAAGACTGTGCTTGGTGAAAACTATCAGAAATACTTACAGACTTTTAAACAAACAGATGTTTTGATAGATTAAAGAGAGAAAATAACCCAAACAGCAAGAACGCTATCAGGAGGAACAAAACACTAGACACAGTTCAACAGCAAGGAAGGGAATGAAGCAATCCGCATGCTTACCAGTCAGGAGGAGGAGTCTGACACTAGGCTGCAACTAAAAACTCTAAATTCGTGTCTTCAAATGTGAGCAGGTGTGAGATGATAGTTTTTCAGAAGGCTTTTGGCTGTGTCCAGACCCTTACCATGCATGGCCAGTTTGGGTCAGATTTGTGTATGCATAGCTGAGGAAAAAACTACTTCCTGTGTAATGAATACATGAACACCACAGTTTTAAGGGCTCATCATGGTCATGCCCTTTTATTCACAATTTTTTCTTTGTTCAGGTCTCCTCTACCTTTGAAACTGCTTGGAAGCAGATTGGGTGATCAGTGTATGAGCAGAAATGAAATGTCATGAATATAACTTCTGTTCCCTGAAGGAGAGGAACGAGGCACAACACATATAGTATGGGATATCACGCCCTTGCATGGCCTGACTGAAGACACCTTTATTCACGCCTTTGTGGCAGATGATTCGTGGTGACGTCTGGGAGACTTCGCCTGCACATATATACGTGTAACACCACAGTCATACCTCAGTTGGATAGCCGCTCTTCACCGAGCCTAGCTGTGCAGTCAGGCAACCCAGTGTTGTACCTCGTTCCTCTCCTTCAGGGAACGGAAGTTATATTCATAATATTTCGTTCCCTTTCAGTCGATTTAAACTTTGGTGCATTGTAGACCCAGCAGATAGGACAGAATGAGCCGCTGAAGGGGCTGTCACATCCAAATGATAAAACCGAACAAAAGTGTGCAGTGATGATCAACTGGCCACAGTGCAGATATCACTCACAGAAACCCCTTTAAACAAGGCCCATAAGGCCGCCATTCCCCTGGTTGAATGTGTCCTCACACCTTGGGGCAACGGAAGACCCCTGCTGCCGTATGCTAAGGAGATAGCCTTCACAATCCAGTTGGAAAGCCACTGTTTAGCCAGTACCTTGCCTTTGGCTGGATAAGCAAAACAGACAAACAACTGGTCACATAAACGGACACTCTGAGTGCGGTCTATGTAAGTGCGTAGTGCATGCACAGGACACAAGGAATGCAACCTCCTCTGCTCCTCAGATGCAAATGGAGGAGGGCAGAAGCTCAGTAGTTCAAAACTCATAGAGCTGTAGGCTATGGGGATAATCTTAGGCAAATACGCCGCGTTTGGGCGCAATGTAACCTTAGATCCATCCAGAGTGAACTGGGTACAAGAGGGATGCACAGACAAAGCATGAAGGTCACCCACTCACTTTGAAGACGCCAAAGCAAGTAGCAGTGCAGTTTTGTATGAAAGAAATTTCATGTCTGCTGACTCAATAGGCTCAAATGGGGGTCCACCAAGAGCCTCAAGCACCAGCGCTAAATCCCATGAGGGGACGCTTGGTTTAAGCACAGGACTCAGCCTGCGGACTCCCTTTAGGAAGCGCATAGCAAGAGGGTGAGCGCCTGGCGTCACACCATCATAGCCAACATGGCATGCTGATATAGACCTCCATTGTTGAGAAAGAGAGACCCCTATCCAGCAGCTCCTGAAGGAATGTTTAAACATCCACAATAGAACTCTGAAATGGGAGAACATTTCGGTCCTTACACCACTGCTCAAACGCCCGCCATTTATAGGCATATAGGCTTTTAGTAGATGATGCCCTTGCACTCTGGATTGTTGCCACCACATTTGGGGGCAGACCCTGAGCTATTGAGTTGGACCTTTCAACAGAAAGGCATGTAGTCGCCACAGTTCCGGGCGCTGGTGAATCACCTCTCTTCCTGCCTGGGAGAGGAGGTCCCATGTCTGAGCCACCACTAGTGGCTGCAATCTCCACTCTCTCACAAGAGGACCCCCCCTGGAGAGAAGGTCCGGCCCAAGGTTTAAGTGACCCGGAATATGTGTGGCTCTGAGTGACAGAAAATGAACACTGCACCATAGCAACAGAGAGTGAGACAGTTTTAACAGGGGAACCTGCATGTTTATGTAGGAAACCATGGTTGTGTTTTCCATCCTGATCAGAACATGATGGCCTGTCAGAACGGGACAAAAATGCTTCAGAGCTAAAAGCTAGCTAATAGCTCCACATAATTGATGTGGAGCTTGCATTGTGATGGCGTCCACACCCCTCTAACTGCTGCACCCTCGCACAGAGCCCTCCGACCCCTCAGGAATTCGTCTGTGGACACAACCTTGCGAAAAGACACCCTCCCTATCGGAGATCCCTGTTGTAGAAAACTGGGTTGGCTCGCAATTAGCACCCAATCGTCCAGATAGGCTAAGATGCGAACACCTTTCTCCCGTAGCGGAGCCAATGCCGCCTCGGCACATTTGGTGAATGTTCGGGGGGTGGGTGATAAGCCAAATGTCAGCACCAGGTATTTGTAGGCTATGCTCTCGAATGCAAACCTTAGAAAGTGCCTGTGGTCCGGATGAATTGCTACGTGAAAGTAAGCATCCGTCAGATCGATAGTTGTAAGCCAATCTCCCAGTCTGATCACGCTCAGTAGCTGTCTGAGTGTTAGCATCTTGAACCTGTAGGTATTTGTTTAACACTCGCTAGTCTATGATAGGACGGAGCCCTCCTCCTTTTTTTCGGAATGACGAAATAGCGGCTGTACCAACCTTTGTTCGTTTCTGAAGCAGGAACAACTCGTATTGCTCTCTTGTTCAACAAGTTGTTTATTTCTTCCCTCACTGCTGCTGCTTCTTCTGCTACAACTGTGTGTATTACAGAGTGGAAGCAAGGCGGCCAGGCCCTGAACTGTAAGCGGTAGCCCATGGCAACGGTTCTCTGTACCCACAGTAAGACTGTGCATGCGCACCACCCATGGAGATGGACAGTCAGTTGACTGACCTCCATCACTGTGGGGGAGGGGTCGTCGCCCTTTGGCATGCCGGCTGGGAACAGCAACACTTTCCCACCCAGACTTGATTGACTTATGATGTTTTGAGAACAAAACGAAACCTTTATTTGACTCGACGAACGCACATTTGTAACATTCACACAGTGAACATCAGGCGCAATTATTGGGGCATGTGTGTGTTAGGGAGGGTTGTGCTTGGGAGACCCCTGAACGAACTTTAAACGCGGCCTTTTGGCGGCAAAAAAACGAAGGGCTGCAGTGTCTCCGTGCTGCTGGGCCTGAAGCTGGAATGACTGCTGTGTCTTTTTTTCTGGGCGCTGAGCCCAGTTCTGACCGGGTACGTGCTGCTTCACCGTTTGGGGCCCCGAACTAGCGGGCGCCACAGTCCTCTTGGGAGGAGGCGCCAGTGCCGGTTTGTGCAGATAATCCTGCTGTTTGGGCCTCGCATCACGCCTGGGGATGATGCTGCTCAAAGCTTTGGTTTGTTTCTTCCTCAGCTTAAACTTAGCCTGAATGTCATCGAGGGACTGCCCAAATAAGCCGCTGGCCCGACACAGGCTCGTTTAGATAGACCGTTCTGTTCCTCTCCGTAACATCGGAGAGAGTAAGCCACAGGTGCCTCTGCGCCACCACCGTGGAAGCCATGCCTCTACCTAGAGAGAGTGCTGCACAGTGGGACACATAGAGAATGTAATCGGTGGCGACTCTAATTTCGTAGAGGAGAGGAGAAAGCGGACTGTCAGGAGACATACGTGAGCCGAGTTCCGCCAGACACATAGCCTGATTCATCTGAAGCATGGTGACAGAGCTCAGTGCATGAGCCGTACTTGCCTGTGTCCTGTAAATCTTATCCAGCTGTGACGCTGAAAACCTGCAGTGCTTGGACAGGAGCATGATGGGTCCATCGACACCATGATTTTGGGCCGGGGCCAGATAGGCTGCCAGGGACGCCTCCATAGGCGGAGGGTTCACCAAACCAGCTTTTTCAGCTCCATCCAGGTCCAGAAACTGTCCACAACCGGGCACTGTGGCACGGGTGGACAGCGGCTTGCTCCATGTCAAGGTTAGTTCTGCGACAAAATCCGGAAACATGGGCAAACTGTTCTTAACAATCGTCAGTTCGGGTGGGAGAAAAAACCCAAAGAACTGCAATGGTTTTTGAGCCAGTGGAGGAGAGAGTCATTCTACTTCCAGTTTCTCAGCTGCACGGCCGTAAATGTGAGAGGAAGGATGTGTCGTCCAGGTCAACCGTGCAGCAGTGGCGGCGAACTGACCCGAAGACAACGGCTCTTGCTCATCCTCCGAAAAACCCTGCACGTCCAGGCCGATGTCCAGCACGTCGTCGTCCTCCTGGTAACAGGCTAGCCCGGATAGCGGCTGGCCAGCGCCCTTGGAGGGGCCCGGCTCAAATCCAGCTGACCCGTCAGCACACTCCATATGGTCTGCCCAGTTTCCAACTGAACCTTCGACCAGAAAGTCTTCACCACTGGACTCGGACGTAGCCAGGTCCCTGGACTCGGAGAGGAGGGGATCGTGCAGCGCAATTGTGGTCTTTCCTAGCATTCTCTCCACAAACTTGACCCACCTTTCCAGGGTTGGGCTCCGAAGCCGGTGACAGGACTCACACGACTCGGGCTCAGTCAACGCCCTCCTGATGTGGACAATCCCCAGGCAAATGGGGCAAGCCTCATTGAGATCTTTCTCGTGAAGTGAGAAGCCGCACCCCTGAGGACAGGGGCGAACAGAAGACTTTGCCTTCACTTTCTTAGCCTCAGCGCTCATAACAAGAGGCAGAAGCCGAATGAAATTAGCGCTTCACGGGGAGCTGCAGGCTTACACCAACAGGGGCAGTTAAGCTAAAATCGATCAGGCAGTAGCCACAGACAAGACCAGGCTAAGCTAGCAGCAGCTTGTTAGCCCAACTCGGTGGAGGTGTTCTTAGCGAGTTGAAGAGCATAAGAACTGAGGGATGACTGTGGTGTTACACGTATATATGTGCAGGCAGAGCCTCCCAGATGTCACCACAGATAATCTGCCATAAAGGCTTGAATAAAGGTGTCTTCTGTCAGGCCATGCAAGGACGTGATATCCCATACTTTATGTGTTGTACCAAGTGAATCGACTGAAAGGGAACTAAAATGACTCCTAAAAACTGCCTCAAAACACTGAACTCAATCTGGAACTCTGAAGGTACATTTTACTTACTGATGCATGTATCTGGATAGACTTAATGTTGGGTGTAATGGGCCCATCATGATTGTATTCTTTAATTTAAAAAAAGGGCAGAAGAGGGTCACAGTTACACAAGCTGTTGTAATTGACATAATGGTTCCTATGCTAACTGGTTTCTATAGTTTCCAGCTTTTGTTTCATTCACCAAATGTTAAGTCACAAGATTTATCTTTCACAATGATGATTTTAAGCATTCACTCCTCGAGATTACTTTTGTTTTTAAAGGACAGGATCTTGACAGTCTGTGAAAATACTGTGTTAATCTCACACAAACACTCAGCGTTAATCTCCCTCGAAACTGTCAGCCTTACAAGGTGAGTGGATTATAAAATTTGTCTCAATCCTTTTCAAGCTTTTAAATATTGTGAACACAAAATGATCGTGTTGTAAACTATAGGTTGGACTTGGTTTAACATGAAAACACCTGTATGAAATTATCTGTTTCTGGTCTTCTGGCCAAACAGTCGGTTCTTTATTTTACAATGAATCACCCTGGTGCCTCTGTTGCTTCCCTGAATATTATATTTAAACTTGGAGGCAAAGCTGGAGCCAGTTTCACTGAAGTTTTAGCTCCACCCAGAGATTTAAAGAACTGAAACAAGAAGTGAAATTATTCTGGGCTGTATTTTTTATTTATTTATTTATTTTTTAAGGACGGGTCTCATTATCTCTGCTTGTTTCATTGCTGATTTTTCTTTTACCAGTTGAGTTTTCAATATTTTTATATTTATATAAAAAAGAAAGAAAAAAGGTCAAAGATAAAAAGTCTGCAGGGGAGGTCATGTTTTTCTGCAGAAACAGTTTCTTAATAAAAATGTACAGTATGTCATATCTTTTGACTTTATGACTTATTTTCCTGAATTTGTCCCAGAAAAGAACACAGAGGTGAAGAGTGGAAATAAAAACTGCAAATATTCTGGATAAAGAGCAGAATCTTGTGGTTGATAAAATACAAAAGTATGCTCAATCAGAGCCACAGTAATCATCATGATCTGACAAGTATGGTCATAGCTGCACAAACATTTAATGAGCATTTAAATTATTTCACAGAAAATTTCCTCTGAAAAAAATCGAAAAATGCAAAAATTAGGCAGATAAATAATTGTGCAACAAAAAGTTAAATATATTTTAACTTTAGATATTTGATCAAGCACAAAAATAAAATAAACACATTAAATAAATAAATCTAAATGTAAATTAAAAAGTAGTTTTTTTAAAAATACATTTCCATTTTTTTTGGTGGTCGTATATCCTGACTGAATTATTTCATCTGTGTTTTATCCATAGCCGCTTGATTAAGGATTTATTATTAACTCTGCCTTGTACCTGTAAGTGTTTTGAAGGGCACCTTTAAATAAAATGTTTGTTTCTATTTTATACAAAGTGCTTCACATAAGGCATTAAAAATGTCATAGGGCACATGACTTAAATCTGTGAGTGTGTGTTAAATTTGAAGATGTAAAAAAAGTTTTAGATAAAAAGAAACTGTCAGTAGTTCATATTAGATGTCTTTCAAATTGCTGCTGTGGAACCTTTCTTCTGCAGCGACTCCTGAATCTTTTGTAAGGTCAGAAAAACATCTTGTCACCTGATTGCATCAACATGACACAAAACAGCTCTGAAATACTGGCCCAAAGTTTCCGCCATTTTCAGAAAACAGGAAGTAGATTCACTGAGCTGGTAAAGAACGTGCAGCTGGTTTTCACACCACAAAGAGAAGAGGAAGAAGAGGAGGAAGACGCTCTGTTATGGATGATACTGAACAGAGAGGTCTGAAAATGAGCAAGAGAAAACTGAGTAAGTCACTCTTTACTTGATGGTAATGGTGTGTCGTATTTTAGTTAGAGAAAGACTTCAAATCTGTAAAGTATCAGGTCAGAACAAAACATCATTAAAACACCTGAAACACCCAACTCTGACTATGAAACAAGAAAAGTTTGAGCTTCAAAATGTTCCTGAAGCATTAATAAAACAACATTTTTAACTCTTTTTTTAAAAGTTTTAAACTGATTGGGTTTTCTTTTTAGTGTGAAAAATTTGACATATGAGGCTCATTTTAGCAGCTGTATTCGGTTCAGGGGAATTAAAAAACAAAAAGGTCATTCAGTGTGATTACCATTTAACCTTGGGGTTCTGATCTCCACTGTTCACGGAGATTTCTTTTAAACATGTAGGGTTTAATAAAGTAAAAAAAGCACTGGGAAAACAAACACGTTATTGAGAAGCTTTCAACCTTTTTTGATTCAAATGGTGCCCCCCCCTCCCATCATCTTAGACATCATGGAGTTGTTTACACTGAAAGGAAAAACTAGAAATTCACATCTTATTTTTGATTCATTACATCTTAAAATCCAACATGTCATGAAACAGAGCACGAAAAGGAGGACACAATGGCAAGACACCAAATCAGTTTGTCCAAAGGCAGGGTTTATTGAAGCTCAGGCAGAGGTCACCAAACAAAATGGCAAGGTAATACACAGGTTAACAATAACTATAAATAATGCTGGAACGAGACAAAAAGTGCAATGAACTGGCAACGATAAGGTGCAACACAGAGTAAAATCCAAGAGGTTATGAGGGTGATGGGAAACAGGTTGGGAGACACAATCAGGCAACAGGTACGACAAGACGGGGGGCAGGGCAGACTAGACAGGAACAAACCTAGAAGACATAAACAAAGGTTAGTGACCTACAAAAAAAAAACAGAAAGGACATGAAATGAAACAAAACATGAATTTGCAACAATAAAGGAAACTTAATCAATGAATTAGCAGAAGTAAAAGGAAACTTAGCAGACATGACAAAACAGTTTTCTAAACTCATTTTAAGAATGTGACTTAAGTTGTTCGCAATAAGACACTTTCATAAGAAGTTAGACAAAAATACTTACAGGAGGTGTATTTAAACACTATAATCTTTATGCCATATGCTATATCAAAACGTAAAATTTGTCATTTGGGGCCCCAGGACTGAGCCCTGTGGAACATCACATGATTAATGAGACACAGACTCATTATTTGAGACCACAAAAAAAAAAAAAAGGTATGAACCAGTTCAGTACGTAACCTGGTAAAACAGATGACAGACCGTGCTATACTCTTTTTAACAACAATGTGAGTGCAGCTCCATCTATTGATTGAAGACCCTCTGAGGTGACGAACCAGAGCATGTAGTTGACGCGTATTTCCATAATAAAACACCATAGTCATCGATCTTTCCTTTCTTGAATATACTTGGATGTTTACTTTGCATAACAAAACAATACTTTTTACGAATAAAAATGACGAAATCAAGACCTGATGTAAACATGGTCAAAAACTATTGTGCTCTCAAAGACCCATAGTTGCACTAATTACCCAAGAAAAACTCCTCATCTCCAATAAGAGAGCTGCAGTAGTAATCGGCTTCAATTCAACTTTCAAGTAAAACTAAACAACTGTTCAGTCTGTCAGAATTCTAATCAGGATAAATAACAAACATTGTTAATATCTGTCAAATTATCAGTAGTACACAAATGGCTCTAACAAACAACACTAACTGACATGAATACAGGGAAATCTGTGATGAGAAGGTGCACTGTGTTGGTATTTGAGATCGTTAAAATGGGAATGTGATTGTGTTTCATTGATGCCAGTCAGATCTAAATCAAATTGAAAAGAAACAGCCCCCCCCCCCACTTGATTAAATGTAATTATCCTCTCTTGTGTTGTGCACTGAAGCTAACAGTCAAGTTTCAGTCTTAAATCAGCACACAGTGACAGTCTGTCAAGTTCAGTAACTAGAGCTGTATCCATAGCAACAGTGTGCTGTTGAAAGATAAAAGACTGTTGCTATGAAGTGTTAATCAATCAGAATCAAGATTTTAACAGCTGAGTAATAAGTTTTGGTTTTAGTCCTAACGTTGGTCCTCAGATGAGTTGGTGGAGAAAAGCACAAAGTCCCCTTAAAAATAGTGTTTAGTCAGTAACTTAACAGTAACGGTCAGTAACTTTCCATCTCTGTCAGATATACTGCTGCAGAAACTGAGATAGTGTGATGCGATGAGTCACTGAGAGGCTGATGAGTGTGTATTTGTGTAGCGCTACAAATGAAGGTAATCTATTCACACTTATTTTACAATTACAGTGTGTGTTTTCTGTGTGTGTTGTCTCTTTGTGCCCCTCACAAACACTTTCTGCTGTGTTGTAAAAGAATCATAGCCGTTCTTTGTGGGTCTGAATGGACGGCGGCTGTGCTGAGCACAGAGTTTAACACACAGAGACAGTGAATGTCTGCAGAGGACAACAGCTCCCTGTGCTGCCGCTGCTTCTGCTGTTTTAGTCTGAACAAATGTTCACTCTTTACTGCTCAAAAAAATCACCAATTATGCTCATAAATGCTTTCTGTTCAGTCCCGTTAGCGCACTAACTTAAAGCCAGTGAACAAATCACAGCTTCTCTTCGGCTGTCAGGAATGAGAAGCTGCTGCAGGATATGTATCTCAAAAATGTTTATTTAAGAGTAATGCGGAAGTCTGTACTTTTACTGTTCCCTGAAGTCCTGCTAAAGTTAACCCTGAGTCAGTGCAGATGATGTGAATCTCTGGGTGGAGGTTTCTTCTTGTTTCACAACACTCTTTGGTTTCAATCTTAGATTCATTTTATACATTCACTACTTCAGACTGTTTTCAGTCACTTTTTGTTTGTGTTTATGAAAGTTTTCAGAATGAGACACAAAAGCATATCTGGGTCCTGGATACTGAAAAAGATGTTAAGTTATGGCTGGACGCTGAAAAAACTTCCACTGTCCAGTCAAAGACGTTGCTTAAGCGTCTCTGTTTAGATCAGACTGAGCCGGAAATTTGCTTCTTTCATAAGATTCATCACATCCTTACTCACATATTAGCAGTTTCAAGCCACACCTTCAAAGTATCAAGGCTGGAAAAGCTTTGTGGACATAAACACCCTGACAGTGCAAAAAATGAAAACTTGAATCCTTAATCCATGTACGGACTGCACCCAATGTCAAATATCTTAACCAAGCAGAGAGGATCACAACATCAAGAGAAAACGCAATAGAAACTTAAGATATTACCCCTCAGGCTAATTTAAATAATTGACTGTGTGAGAAATATTTAGAATATTTTTGCGGGCTCAAAACTCTTAAACATTTGATAACTCCCTGTCTGCAGGTTGCATGGTGAAAATAAAAGCATGAAGCTCTTTTACATCCTCTCTTTACCTTTATCAAACCTTAACCCTAACCCTAACCCCAACTCCCCCTCAATAGATAAAGTATTCAGATTCTGGTTCTCTCTCTTTTTCTCAAAATCTTGAATCTAAATTTAGCAGAGGAAATAAATATCCATCAGTGTTTTCAGAGTGTAATAGTCCCTGGGGCTGAAACATAATCAAACACAGCTGAGAGCTGCTTTTCAGAATAAAGTCTATGAGAGTTTCTGCAGATGAGATTACAAAAACATTCCTGGAATAACTCCCAGGCAAAGATAACTCCTCTCCTTTTCACAGGATGAAGTGAAAATCAAATATCTGCAGCTGCAGCTCTCACATTATTTGATGTTTCTTTCAAACTTGATCTCGCTGGAGGAATTATTCATCACTGACTAAGTCGTGACCCAAAGCAGAAATGAGCAGGTGGATGAAATAATGAAGTCTGTTGCTCTATACCCTGTAAGGAACTGAAGGGTTAACTGTGACAAGATCTGTTTTCCTGTTTGCAGAAAGCAACGTGTTCTATTTTGAAAGATTAGTCAGTCATTTCCTGCACTTCATCAGTATCTCACATCAGGCTAATGTCAGGACCTTTGTGGGAGCCGGATGTCGAAATGAATCAGTTTAGTAAGTCTTATTATTCATTAGATAGAGCGTGATATCTTTAGGAAGAATTAAGACCCTCTGTGGACCTCTATGAACAAAAACACTGCTAAGGCAGAATTCAGAAGGTTATGTAATCAGAGGTAAAATAAGTTTGACAAAAGCTTTTTCTATATTTCACACACAATATTTACAGTGTCCCATGTCCTCCGAAATCAGCTCCAAAACTGTTCAAATGTCATTCTGCTGGAGCACGTTTGAAGAGCATCTAAAATAATCATATAAGATAAGACAAGAAGAACTCGAATTGAAATTCAATGTATCAGAAACTGAGAGTCAGTCACGTGAGCACTCAGGTTAGGGTTATCAGATATTAAAATGGTACATCTGTAGGGTGTGAACATGTGCAGCAAAGGTTATAAGCAACAGATCATTCATTGTCTTATTTGTTTTTAAGTCCAAAAGTTGATTGCTGCTGTTAATCGATGATAAAACGGCCATCAATGGCCATCAAAGGCTTCTCTCTATCGTATCTGTTGTGAAATGTTATTGGATCATACCATACTGTACCATAACATCTTGTTCGTTAAGATATCATATTGTGTCGAATTGTATCATAATGTACAGTGTCTTATTGGCACAATAGCTATATTTCATCCGTTGTCCCCAGGCAGGTAACACCTCACTGCACTACTTACAAGACAGCACACAGAAAACATACAACTCTCACAAAGGAGATGGACACAACTTTTACACTACAAATAACTCACAAACAGAGAGCTCTCTATAGCATTATCTTATACTGTATCATATTGTTCCATATTGTACCATATTGTATCCTATCCTGTCACATTGGACATGATGCCAATTTGTTGTACAATATGAGGTCATATAGTGTCAGACTGAACCATAGACTGTATATAGAATGGACGCCGTCTGCCACCTCGCTGGGTGAAGCCACCCTGAGAACAGCACACTCTGGTGACGAGCTGCAGTATAGGCTATGACTCATCCAGCCATCCTTATAGAGTTGTGGACAAACTTTAGAAATTAATTATACAGAATATACATTTTTCTCCCCCCCTGCTTCTGTTGTTGACATGTACTTATTGTAAGACTGGTTTGTCCTCAAGTCCTCTTTTTTCTAAACAGCTCCATTTTCAGAGGTTACTAGGGGATTTATGTTGTCTATGATTGACACTTGATACAGCCCATGTGTGTGCAAAGATTGCATAGCTCACCTGGGGGGATACATTGTTTGAGCAGAGTGTCATCACAGCAACTCTTGGCGACTCTCCCCCCGAATGTGTACAATACTACTGTGCAAGTGGTGGAGTACTTACGACGCTACTGCGCAATTTTGGTTTCAGGAAGTGGAGAAAAAACCCAGAAATACCAAAAGCTTTTTGGCTTCGAATCCATCTACTGGTGTAAAGTGTAACTAAGTTGTCCATAGTATGTACAGTCTATGAACCTTTTGCATCCTATGGTATCATAGGGTTTTGTATTGTACTGTTTAATACTGTATGTCCTATCTTATCTTATATGTATGCCTCTGCAGTCTTCACCTTTCAGACCCCTGTGAAATGTTTGATGAAAGGTTTCTGACAACCCTGAATATACCTCTCTTTCTGTCCAGGTTTGAAATGGTTTGGCAGCCTTACCAACCTGTCGACCCGCCGTCCATCAGACAAAACCAACAATAAGACAGCGCCAGAGCATTATGACAAACCTATCTGTGACAAACCCACAGAGGGGGAGCAGACAGTGGATGACATGGAGTCCTGCCCCATTTGCCCCACCTATGCCAGATCCGGCCAAATGTACACCCACGTGGGCACCGTGCCACGGGCCCAGAGGCAGACGAAGAGCTGCAGGGGGCCGAAGGAGAAGAGGAAGAAGAAGAAAGAGGAAGAGGAGAGGGAGAACAGGGAGGAGAGGGAGGAGAGAGAGAACCAGTGGAGGGCGGGGGAACATGTTCGAGACTCTCCTCTGCTCAGCGCCCTGTCCAGTCTCAGTCTGACCAGCCTGGACCTCCCCAAACCTGATTCTGCACCTACTCGACCACTGCCTGCTACACCCACACCCACACCCAGCTGGGCTTCACCTTTGACCTCTGCACCTGAAACCTGCTGCAGGGAGCCCTCAGTGGACCCCTTCAAGGGCCACAATGTTTCATCTGAGAGCAGGGAGCCTTTAGAAATCGGAAAACCTGCAAGAGGGTCTCCAAACATGACCACAAACAGCCCCCAAACGGTTTCTCCTCAGGATTTATACGTGCCGATGGATCCCATAGGTGAAACAGCGCGTGGCCATGTGGACGAGCAGACAGAAAGACAGCGAGGCTTTATGGGTATTCAGGAAACAACAAAGACTCCTACCTGCAGTCTGGATGATACAGAAGTCAACAGGTGAGAAAGATGACTGATTACACCTTCAGAGGCTACATTTCACAAAATAGTCTGTTTTTTAAATTTCTACCTTTGATACTGACTTTACCTTAAAATTAACACCACAGAGCATATAAGTCTCCGTCTTATGACTGGTGCTCAAACCTGAAAGGGCATCAAAAGGCAAATTTATTTCATGAAACCCTAAAATATTTAATAATGCAAACAATTATTATGAAATGCCAAAATATTACAAAAACAATTATACAATTTTCCTAATTGTTTAACATCTTTGTTTCAATTAATATTTTTTGTGTGTTTGTGTGTGTGCATTAGGTTTTGTGATTTTTTATAAAATATTTTGCAATCAGCATGCAAATATTGTTAACTTTCATACATTATTGGTTTATGGCAACATTTTTGCATTCATGGATCAAAAAAATTAAATTTGGATCTTAAAAAAATCACATGATCAAATTAATATCACAAAATGTGTATATGTTCCAATTTTTTTCATTTTGTAAAATGCTTTTTCTTTTTTTTGATTTGGCTTAACCTCCAAACCTTTTAAAGGAATTTTTAATTATTTTTTCATTTTGTTCCGATAAAACCTAGCTAGATAAAACCTTTTGTGAAATGGCTTTATCTATTTTCTACTCTAAATGTTATTGTTTTTTGTTTGTATTTATATATTCTGAGGTTTTGGTGTTTTTATCACATATTTCTGAGTTTGGTGATATATTTTATGAGTAGTAAATGGTTTTTGTGTGCAGTTGACTTTCAAAGTCACTGCAACGCTGTTTCAGCTTGAGTACAAGAAAAAAAAAACAGCTCAAAGGAAAATAGAAAAACCAAATAAAATTAGTTGACCGGTTGATAGTCCCTAAAAAGTTTTCATTTCTGTAAAAACGTTCATCAGTAAACAGAAGAGCCGTTGTGCACATGCGCAGTAGCTCCCCTTTTGCCCGCTCAGTCAGCTGTGGAAACTCAGCAGCAGTTTGAGTCAGACTGTGCGGGAGAAGATGGGAGAAGTTGGTGACGTTAGCTGTCCGTCTGTCCGCTTTGGGGAGGGAGAGAGGAGGTGAGGACGTGATTTGAGTAACTTTATTATTCATAAATGTTAAAATAATGTTGGGTACGCATTTGTGAGGAGATCGAACTTTTTAATTCATAACAGTGAAGCAGAAATGTTCGGTGTGTGTGTGTGTGTGTGTGTGTGTGTGTGTGTGTGTGCGCCGCGCGCGCGTCATCTGTCATCTTTACCAGCTCAGAGTCAGGAACATTTAAAGTCGGTCTGTTCTTGAGACCTTTACAGGCTTTTCTTGCAGGTACCAAGTGTTTTATTTATGGATACAAACACATACGCACGCGCGCACGTTTCATTTTTGTTTTACCATAAAACATGAAAAACTGTGAACAAGTTAAACATTTACCACCAGTGGATTTCCCTTTGAAGTCAGTGGGTTACCGGGGAGAGAGAGAGAGAGAGAGAGAGAGAGAGAGAGAGTGTTTGTTTGTGTGTGTGTGTGTGTGTGTGTGTGTGTGTGTGTGTGTGTGTGTGTGTGTGTGTGTGTGAAATGGACCGGACTGGTTGTTACATAATCAGAAGAATTTGTTCTCTCAGTCTGAACTCTGATAAAGCTTTCAGACAGAGATGCAGCATGCTTTCGCTCTTTTTCCCCTAGAGCAAATATTTAAAAAAAGAGGATTTATTAACCATTTTCATACAAAGTTAACTTTTATTTAAAAAAATGAATTCTCTTTAATCTAGAGTCAGACTGCAATGCTCTGTCAGAAAAAAATGTGATTATTAATTTAAGATTTTGAAAGCTTAAAAATCATACTTGTGCTATTTTTCATACCACTGACTGCATTGATTTATGTTACTTTTTTGTAATTATTAGAAAAGGGATTTTACAGGTCTCACTTATAATAAATAAATAAGTTGTTTGTTCCAGTGAGGTTTGTAAAAAACTTCTTGTTTTCTAGTGTTTTTGGCTTTTCTTACATTTTCAAAGTGCTTATCAGAGGGTGGATGTGGTGAAAAAGTCTGTCCTCCTTCCAAGTTAAATTCCAGCCCCAATTTGCAGAATGATACTCCTACCTCTCCCATTTTAGCATCTGGTCTTTAGGGGTGCTCAGCCCCACCCCAGTGTTGACAGAGGCACATTATTTTTCACGAAATGATGCCTACGAGTACATTTGTAAATGTTGGAGCTGTATTAGTTTTGCTTTGAGTGTGAATTCCATCCAATTTGCATATTACATGAGCCATGCCCATAGAAAACCAGTTACATTTTCTAACATACAAACAATAGAACAAATAATAGGAAATAAATTAAATGGTTAATAAAATACTTCACCTTAATGCACCCTAATGCATCCTTGAGCACAAACCACACCCTTTTAATCACCTAATAACATCTAGAATGTTTTTTATAAAAAAAATCTGCATATTATTTTGAACAATGCAGGTCTCTTTCTGTGTGGATTAATGAATGGGCCTAAAGTGAGCAGGCACAGGGGGTCACAGGTCTTAAGTGCCCAGGACAAACTGAAAGATTTAGACACATGAGGGCAGTAGTGAGCACAGGTAAAAAGCTTACTCATACAAAACCCCAAATCAAATAATTCCTCTTGTAGGTACAGCATTGTACTTCCTCATTAATAATGACCAAAACACATTTTATCCCACAATACTATCTTTAATGGTAAGCCACATTTTAACCATTTTGGAGGTAAAAAAAATGAAGCCTCCCCTTAATCTAAATGTCAAGTTTTTTTCTTGAAAGGGAAGAAATAAAGATTTGTCACATCCCATTCACCTCACACCAAAACATAACTAAGTTATTATTATTTATCTTACCTGAAGTTGACTTTAGGCCCTTGTTTAAAAAAAAAAGAACGTATGTCTATCTGTGGAACGACAGATAATGGATCAGATTTTCCCAATGTTCCAGTTAACTATGCATGGGGGTCTGTAATGAACCATAGACAATGGCAAAAAAGTAACAGGTTACTTTACTTTAGTTCCTGCTTTGAACTGTAACTGAACTGTTAGGCTACTCAAAAGTAACTCATTACTAATTACTTCACCCATGCAAATCCCCTTTGCAAAAAATGAGATGAACCACAAAAAGTCTCTCAGAAATTAAATTCCGCTCCGATGTCTGGTACAGGCCAGCACCGCCCTGGTTGTCATAGCAACGCAGTGCGCGACTACTTTGACGTTATCATTATCGCGTGGCCGCCATGTCGCCGCTGACTGCTGGTAAAACAACAGTGGAGTAAAAAAAACAAGTGAGACAATAACGCGAGTGGAAACGAGGATTATGTTGTCGTACCTTCATATGTTCCATACCTTCTCACCTCGGAATGCGTCGACTCGGGTGCAAGCAATCGCGTGAACGTGCCAACCAGTCAAAAGAGGTGTAGCTGATAAGTGGGTTAATAAGACTCGTATTGAAGCTCACACAGCAGCAGAGGGGCAGAGCAACGTCACTCTGCGCAGTTGCACTCTTTTCTTAAGATTTTCGCACAACACAATATTTTGGAGAGGTGCTGAGCTAGGGGGTGCTCAGCTAATTCATGGGGGTGCTGAAGCATCCCTAAAAATAGCCTAAACTCGCCCCTGCTCCCCCTGCTTCTCTCGGCTCTTCTCTCTCCTCCTTCTGCTTGTCTCTCGCTCTTCTCTCTCCTCCTGTTCCTTTCCCTGCTTTCTTCTCTCCTCCTCCTCCTACTGCTCTCTTCCTGCTCCTCTCCCTGCTTTCTCCTCTCCTATTTCTGTTCCTCTTCTCTTTCATCCTGCTCGTCTCCCTGCTGAATTCCCTGCTCTCGTCCTGCACCTCTCCCTGCTCTCCTCCTGCTTGTTTTTCCTCTTTCTCCTCTCCCTGCTCTCATCTCTTCCTCTTTCTCCTCTCTCCCCTCTTCTGTTCTTGCACATCTTCCTGCTCTTGTCCTGCTCAGTTCCCTGCTGTCCTCCTGCCTCCCTCCTCCTCTTTCTTCTCTCCCTGCTCCCCTCTTCTTGCTCCTCTCCCTGCTGTTCTCTCTGTATGTTGTAATCAATAAGAGATTGAACTGATTTAATCAGGAAAAAAAAAGTTCCCTGATACGCTCTGTTGGACCAATGTCCTTGTGTTAAGGAGAACCAGATGATAAATTATTGTGAGATATTTTCCCATGATGGACAGGAGGTGATTTCATGATACATGAATAAATCACATTTCCTGCTGTTACAGCCCCTTGTTTTCTCTCTGTAAATAAAACAATACTTATGCAACCACAGGATAAACAAAACCTTAAGAACATCTGAGAACATGTGGAAAAACACATGTATGTTCTCTGCAGAGTTTGGACTTATGCTGTGTTTTCTCCTAAATATGTGTAAGATACCCTTGTGTGTTCACATCTGTTCGTGCATTTGTGCATGGTGTGTGTTTGTTCTCAGAGTGTGTGAAGGGAGCAAAAGGTCACCTCACTTGGCGTTATAAAAATATGCAGCATGTTGAGGAAGAGCACAGTGACCAGACAGAAATGTCCACGTGCAGTTTCTCAGACACACCACCCCTGTCAGGATTTGTTTAATCCGGCTGAGTTTGTGAGTCCCTGAGCTGTCAGATTTGGTGAGTGTGTCCGGCTGCAGTGATTACGTCCCAAACATCAGGGAGTTACAGAAGTTTCCCCCTGTTTTTTTCTGATCTGAGCCGTCACTGCAGCAGAAATCTGCCCATCCTCCCTGGAGAAGAGTTGTTGTGTTGCAGGCTGTTGCTGGGTGGTGTCAGATTGACACACTGCTGCTGTCAGAGTTGTGCAACATACAGACACAGAGATGCACCACTACTACCAAGCTATCTTATTATAACATTGCTAATGGATGACAGGATTCAGTGACTGGTCCTTCCTCCTCAACAGTCTTTAACATCATTTTTTGTAACCTAACATAAGTGATGGAAAATGAAAAATGCTGAAGTTCATTAAAAGCAGCTGTAAAGGAGTTAAAGTCCTTAGCAGTGCTCACATACCAGGCAGATAGAGAGGATTCATAGAGCAGCTTTAAACAAACACAAAAACTGACATCACTCAAATTTGCCAGGAAGTAACTTTTCAGTGAGCCTTAAAATAAAAATAAAAACATTTCCTGAGCTGCAACTCTGTTTACTGATCTAAAATTAAATCTTGGCAATGGGAGATGTTCCTTTATTTTCTATTGCTCATGTTGTTTCCATGTATTTATTGTTTCTGAGCAAGCTCTGAGTGTTTTTAACAAAAGTTTTGTGAATGCATGTAAAGCAGAGGTCAGCTGGATCATTGCACAGCCCGGTTGTAACGGAAGTTTGCAGCACTGAAACAATGACAGAATAAATGCCCCCCTCACATGCAAAAGATTTAGCTGTTCTGAGGACAGTTATCCAGGGACTGAAAGTCCTTTGCAAAGCTTTTGATTTGAGCCTCTGTAGAACTTTGTAAAAAAACTTCTCATGAATCTCATTGACTGCAGTCATGCTGTTTATTATTGAATAATGTCAGGTTACAAATGGGAAATATGACAATATATAGTGTCTGGGCGATAGAAAATGTTTATCGTTTAACATGAAGCTCTATCGTTTCTATCGTGGTGTCGCAAAACATTGCTTTATTTTATGTGACAACGTAACATACAGTGTGCACAGCATGCTTGCACAGCACACAGCATGCTGAGCATGGAGCCCCACCACACACTACTTGACCAAACAAAACAACTATGAGTCAGAGAAAGACGGTAGCGGTCCATCAAACACCAATTCTGGTTGGTTTGGGTTTAAAAGGTCAGACACAGACCAAACCACTGTTATTTGTAAACTACGCCGCAGCCCAGTACCCCGTGGACTGAAACACCACAAACTTGTTCAACCACATTAGCAAGATGCACAAAAAAAATATGCCGAGTGTATGCAAGCATAAGCAGCTAAAGCAGTGAGTTATATTGTCGTTGCTGCTAAGAAACCCCAACAGCAGACAGTGCAACAGGCTTTTACCTGTGGCATCCCAGGTACCCAAAGCTCCCACAGATGGAATGAGATAACAACTGCATTTGCCAAGCACATATGAAAAGATATGGTTTCAACCTTTGTATATTTGTATTGTGAGCCTGATTTTGTTGCTGTACTTTAAAAAAATATTACTCTAGTAATATCTCTAGTTATACCAACTTTAGAAACGACTGCACGATATCAATACGCAGAGGTCTCAAGAGCCACGCACAAACCTCAACCAAAACGCCACTCTATAGCCAGAAATAATGCTCAGAACAGCACCTAACTTCATTAACAGTGGCTACATATAGGGTCCCAGCCATAGTACTAGCCACCAAAAATCTTTATAGTTTAGCCTGATTTCTTTAGCAAAGAGACTGAACACAACTCAGCTACTCTGCTCCAGCAGCGGCTTGTTTGTAGGAAGACCTCGACCTGTCCATCAGCGACTGAGGCGGGGGACACAGCTCAAGGAAGAACACACATTTAAGTACGTGTGTGCTACTTTTTATTTCAGTTTAATGTGCTTTACAAATAAATCTTACTTGCACACTATGGTGGTAACAATTTAATAATCAGGCTTCAAATTTTAGTTTTCATGTGGACACTACATTCTATAGGAGTGATGAGTGAGGTAGAATGAATTGCATTTAGACAGGGATTAAAGTGTATACACAGGACTACAATATATATATATATATATATATATATATATATATATATATATATATATATATATATATATATATATATATATATATATATATATATATATATATATATATATATATATATATATATGTGAGGAATTTATTGAGTTGTTGAAAATTGTGCAATAATACATACTTATACTGTTCTGTCTATCTCATTCTTAAAGAGAACAGCCAACAGTCAGTACGTTTACATGACACTCCAGTAAACAGAACTATTGCCTGAAAACTGAAGTACATGTAAACACCTTAGTCCGACTATAATCGGGTCGGAGAACTCCGATTAAGATACCCAGTTAATGTGTTTGGAATTGGATTTTTTCTACCATGTAACCAGCAAAGTCGGAGTATGATTGGACAATTCATGTGCACGTGCACCACGCCCCTGTAACCCTGGAACAAAAACACTGGAGAGGAGAAGTAGCATGCACCTCATCTGCAGAAAAAATAGCGTGTACATCATGTACGACAAAAACAACACTGTACAATGCTCTGTCTTCTTGTTCGAAAATGCCCAGCAGCAGTTGTAGCCACTTCTGATGTCTGGCACTGACCTGCTGTTGTTGTGGATACAACCAGAGACAGCACAGTTAAAAAGACCCATGTTGCCCCTAGTTTAGATGACAAGGACACGCTCACGCCAATAATTCGATTTTCTCAGGTGCATGCATACGCAGACATGGAGAGAAGTCTGATTCGGCAAAATAGATGGAAATTAAAAAATATTTGTATTGATTAGTCATTGATTAATCAAAAAAATAATCGTCGTCTTCATTGATTGTTAAAATAATCGTGAGTTGCAGCCCTATTCCAAATAAAAAATATGTTGCACCTACTACTTTTATTTGTTTTGTCTATCATCAAACTGTGTTTTCACATTGCAATTTTCATTTAAAGTATTTATCAATTGAATTTACAAAAAAAAAACAACATTAAATAAAATTTTAAAAAAGCTATATTGTGATATATATCGTTATCAGGATACAAAATTAGCTATATCAGGATATGAGCTTTTGGTCATATCGCCCATCCCGAGTTACAGGAGATATATCTCCTATCCTCTCCCATTTTCTCTACAGATCTCTGTTTGACCCTTTTTCTGCCATGACTATCTATCTTCATTAGGTTTTGATCATGTACAGCTGTTTGTAGAGTGCTGCTGATGTATGTTATGTAAGGGATTAATGTACGGTTGGCAGGTAATCATACAGATTATAATCCTGACAGGGTGAGACAAGAGCCTGGAGCTACTCAGGAAGATTATTATCATGTAACCTATCAGCTAATGCAGAATCACTTTATTGTGATGTTATAGTTATTGTAGGCCATGTATGAGCTCTCAGTATGAGGGTCAGTCACCCTGTGATTTCCACCATGAATGTTCACAAACTGAGCACAGATGTTTTATGAATCAGTTGGTAAAGATGAGGTTCTAAAATGTAAGTGACTTCAATCTAATGGACCATTCATCACAACACAAACACAATCCATCATAATACACTCGACGCAGAAAAAGCATTTGACAGAGTCAACTGGTCATTTCTCACTCCCACATTACAAAAATTTGGTTTTGGGAAGTCATTCACCAACTGGGTTCAATTCAATTCAATTCAATTCAGCTTTATTTATATGGCACTTTTCGTACACAAGGAAATGCAATTCAAAGTGTCTCACAGAGGCTAAAAATAACATTAAAGACAAAAACCCAACCCTTCCACCCACACACACACCCATGGACCCACACACACACAAAGACACACACCCACCCACACATAGACACACAAACAACCGCACACAGTGTGAGAATTTACGATATAAGTTAAAGAGACATGGCCTGACACCGAGACATTACATGAGGAAAGAGCTACCTTTAGGAAACACTGGAGATAAAAATAGAGATAAAAATGGTGAAATGAGAAAACCTGATGGACAAAAATAAGAAAATAAAAATATTAAATGAACAAATAAAGAAAAAGGGGTAAGAGAAGTAAAAATCTGTCACAGGAAATAAAAAAAAGGCTAAGAACAGAGATAATGGATAGAATGACATAAAATAAACATTAAGAACTTTGATTAAAATAAACATTTGCAATAAGAGAAATCTAAAATGGCAATTAGTAAAAAGCCTGGTTAAAAAAGTGAGTCTTGACAAAGTAGCATCGCAGCATTGGAGCCAATGCAGCGATGCTAAAACTGGCATTATATGCTCTTGCCCTCTGGCCCTTGTCAGCACTCTTGCAGCTGAATTTTGTAAAAGCTGAAGTGTATGTAAGTTCTTCTTTGGGAGGCCAGAGAGCAGGGCGTTACAATAATCTAAACGTGAGTAGATAAAAGCATACATCAGCACCTCCATGCTGGCCTGAGAGAGAAACGGGCGGACTCTGGCTATATTTCTAAGGTGGTAAAAACCTACCTTTGCTATGTTTTTGATGTGTGGAAAAAAACAGAGCTCAGAGTCAAAAATTACGCCCAGGTTTTTTATAGATGTTGATACTTTAAAATCTTGTAGTTTTGGTAAAAGTGTCTCTCTCAGGCCTTCAGGGCCAATAACTAAAACCTCTGTTTTATCCTGGTTGAGCTGCAGGAAGTTGGCTGCCATCCAGGACTTAATGTCTAAAATGCAATTTAAAAAGGGCATCAATTGGCCCGCTATCATCAGGAGACACGGCCATGTACAGTTGTGTATCATCAGAATAGCTGTGGAAGTTCATGCCGTGCCTCCTGATGATGTCCCCCAGGGGAAGCATGTAGAGATGAAAAAGAGTTGGACCTAAAATTGACCCCTGGGGAACCCCACACATAATTTTATGGGTTTGTGAGGAACATGTATCCATACTTACTAAGAAGTGTCGATCAGTGAAATTAGAGGTGAACCAGTTAAAAACAGTGCCTGAGAGGCCGACCAGGTGCTTAAGTCTATTTAATAAAATGTGATGGTCTACTGTATCAAAGATTTTAACTGCCATCATGCCACCATGTTAGATCCAGCAGGACCAAGACTGTGAGGTTGCGATTATCTAAATTGCACCTGATGTCATTCAAAAATTTTAAAAGGGCTGTCTCAGTACTGTGGTTCCTCCTAAAACCTGATTGGCACTTCTCTAAAATGCTCTTCGTATTTAAAAAATCATTTACTTGTTAAAGTTTTTCCAAGATTTAATTAAAAATGGTAAGTTGGATACAGGTTGGTAATTGTTAAAAATCTTGGGGTCCAGATTGCTCTGCTTCAGAAGAGGCTTCACCAGCACTGTTTTAAAGGAGGTGGGAAAGACCCCTGTCTGCAGAGAGCAATTTACAATGTTTAAAAGCTTGGGAGAAAACTCGACCAAGTGTCTGCGCGTCAACCAGTGCAAAACTCTCCAGTGTTTCCTCGGGTAAAAGCAGTGATCCAGGTGTGTTGGCAGTTAAAATCTGTTGAGATAAAAGACTGGATCTGATGTTGTCGATTTTACTTCTGAAGTGGTCTGCAAAATCCTCACAGAGGATGACCCAGGGGTTCTGTTAGTTAAAAGATCAATTGTTGTTCTTGCTTGTTTGACTGTGCTATTGAAGGTTTTGAGGTGTTGTTAAAAATTTCAAGATGGACTGTTAATTTTGATTTTCTCCATCTTCTTTCAGCACTCCTTCATTTTCGTTGAGCTCTTTGATATGCGCGTTTCTCCATGGGGGTCTTGCTTTTTTATTGAATGTTTTAGTTAAAAGTGGAGCAACTGAGTCCAGTGTTGACCTTAGATTGTTGTTAAAATTGTCAACGATAAAATCACAGGGTGCTGGTAAAATTTGTGGAGAGATGTTCTGTAGGATGTGAATAAAATTTGCAACCACTTCAGAAGTTAGGTAGTGTTTCCTCACTGTTATGACTGGGCTCCTCCTCTAGTTAAATCTGCTGATTTAAAAAAAAATACTATGCACTACTCTTACTGTCACTGTGAACACGAAAGGACTAACATCACACCTTTGACACCACACTGGGGGTCTAGCAAGGATGCCCACTCTCCCCCTGCCCACTCCCCCCTCCCTTTTCACTATCAAACCCTCTAGCTGCAGCCATTCACTCAAACTCCCACATCCAAGGAATTCAGACACCAAACGAACATCATAAAATCAGTCTTTAGGCTAATGCCATCCTGCTGTTCTTACAAAACCTTTACCCATCACTACATGAAACAGTCAAACTCATAGAAACAAACTCAAACACTTCCAGTTACTCCATTAACTGGCATAAATCCTCAATCATCACACAACAAAAAAAAAAAAAACTGTTGGGATGTGCCAGCCCACACACCACCTATCCCTCTTTGTACAACCCACATTACTTATTAAGGTATCAACATCTCCTCCAGGCTTAGAGTTATTCAACCTCAATTACACCCCATTACTCCATCAAAAACAGATCATTCCAATCCACAGCAGAATAGCAACAGTTAATAAAATATCTTCTTTTTTTCACCCATATATTTATTGAGTTATAGATTTTTACAAGACAGTCTGGCTGCAGACCTCCACTGTCCGGACCCTTGGTTGCAGACCTCCACTGTGAGGGCCCACCTCCACTGAGCGGACCGGAAGTTGATACAAAGCCTATCAAATTAAACGTAATTAGACCGGAAAATATAATATTTTTTGTTTCGTGTATATTTTATATCTTGGGCCTTCATTTATGTTTATAATGTTATCAGGATTTTTTTGTGTATTCATGTGTTCAACAAAGAGGTCCTCACAGTAGGGGTGTGTCCTGACAGTGGAGGTCTGCAGCCAGACCCCTCTTGACTTTTATAATAAAACATTGATAAAAAAAAGTGCCATAGAATTCAGACACACTTCAACAAACTGCCTCTCAGACTCAATGCCATAATTCAGTACAGATTAATGCCCATATAAACGATAGACAGAAAACAAACAAATGAGTTGTAAGATTTCAAAGATCCTTGAGTAAATTTTTGAGATATCTGTGTTGCCAAGTTTCACTGAAGAAAACTCATTCCCCTTCTTCAATATCTGACATATCGAAAGTGGTCCCTATATATTTTTTTTCAAACAATTTCTGTTTGCCCTTTCTTATAAAGGTCACTCTTTCTAAAGGAAGTATTGCAATCACTTGTCCAACCCAGTGTTTAATGCTTGGTCTATTAGTATTTTTCCAGAATATTGTGATTGATCTTCTTGCATGTAATAGACACATGCTACATCTTATCTTACATCTTATATATATATATATATATATATATATATATATATATATATATATATATATATAATGTATATATATATATATATATATATTTTTTTTTTTTTTTTTTTTTTTTTCTAAAATATTCTCTCTAAATTTCCTTTTCCTGCTAATTCCAGTCCTGGTGAACTGTAACACTTGGTGTCACGTGTGTTGGGTCAGTTCAGTCCACGAGCGTTCAGTGGTCAGGCTTTAGACTGCAGTTTGGGACTGTGCCATCAATGTGTGTCAGTGCCTTAGTGTACTAGGGGTCAGAGGAAAACCAGCTGACCAGGGATCACAGAGAGCTATTGTTAGTGGTGCCAAAGCTACTTAATGAATACAGATCTGCAAGATACTGATGATCAGAAAGCGACAGTAACTAGTTTGTCAAAACATGATCAGTTTGACAAAAATGCAATAAAAGGAGTGGAAATGATAAAGTTCCAAATAACAAAATTAATGGCATTGAAAATGTTACTATAATTTTATGTAGCAAACAGTGAGCCCATGCACCTCTTCAGACTCCTTTACCATTGGGCACAGACAGTTCCTGAAATAAATGTTGTTTAGCTACCATCACTCGTCACCTGCATGTTTTCCATTGTGTTGCATCAGCCAGCAGACTAGGTGCTGGAATCTGAAAGTCAGATGTCCTGATAGAGGATTTCAGCTGCTCAACAGTTCAGGTTCTCCTTTGTCCTGTTTTGGTATCATGATGCTCCAAATGTTTTCAATGGAGGACAAGTCAGGACTGCAGCCAGGCTAGTTTATCAGCAGGTCTCTTTTACTACTGTGCCATTCTGTTGTAGCTCTGCAGAATATGATTTTTCATTATCTTGCTGAAATATGATGGTAGTCCCTGAAAAAGTCTTTGTCTGGATGGCAACAGATGTTGCTCCTAAACCTGTAGATATTGTTCAGCATTGATGGATTAATCTGTGGATGAATGGATTAATTTTAATGTGACTTTCTGGTGTTTGTTCTGTTTTTCAGTCAGCAGGACATGACAAAGAGCAGCGGTGAATATGTGAAGGTAAGCTGACTTTGTCCCACTTGTCACTCTTTCCCCCTTCTCTTCCACTTACCCCTTTGTCTTTGTCTTACCCCTTTGAAAACATGCCACTAAGAAAAGAGACGCCACTCGATTCCCACTACATCATCATGCCTTGCCACATGCTGGCTGTGTCGTAGGCTGATGCAACAATACCGGTAAACAAGTCAGAAAAATAACACCTACTGTTGCAACTTTAAGCTGTTGTTAGCTATTGTTAGCAAGAGCAGTTGAAAAAACGCATTACATGGTATTTTACTCATAAAAGAGCGAACTTAGAAGCTCCTGAAGCAGCTTTTACATTAGAGGTTACTAATGTACCGAATGTAGCTTAGCTGTCTGATAATTCTGTTTGCTGTGAATTTGTCACTCGAGTCGGACATCAGTGAAGCTATCATTAGCTATAGCTTTGTTAGCTAGCTTAACATAACGAGCAATTTTAAAATGCAAACAATTCAAAACATGGCTAATATTCATGTGGAGTAGCAAAGAAATGAATATCCTATAACAACATAAGTGTCATTACTATGAATATCAAAACCTTACCCCTTGCTTTCAAGGGTTTTGAGGTCCCCAGTTTGTCTTCAATCTTCGATTCAAGGGCTGTGTACCTCTTGACCTTAACCTTACAGAGAATTGGAACACCCCTTTGCTTGATGTGAAATCACAAAATGAGGGCTGAGGGCTGAGACAAGGGCTAAGGGTAACACTTAGGTTTGGCCCTAAGTCACTATTCTGCACCTTCCCTCCTCTTTCTCTCTTTGTATTCTGGTCCCATTTCCACTGAGGGCTGAATTAAAAAGATGTTCTGGCATAAATTTAAGTTATGGTCAAACACACTGCAACACCGAGTTAGACACCCCCTCGAGAGATGAATGTTGCCGACAGCTTGCTTCCTTAGTTAAACGAACTTCAGCAACGACTGCACAATAGCAACATACAGCAGTCTCAGGAGCCACGCGCAAACCTCAGCCAAAAAGCCACTCTATAGCCACAAATAATGCTCAGAACAGCACCTGACTTCATCAACAGCAAATATAGGGTCCCAGCCGTAGGCTATGTCTCATTTCAGAGACCGCACCGTCGAACGGCACATTTCAAGTGTGCGTGATGTCATTACGCGGCGCGAACGATGTCCCATTTGGCTCGTAATTCTGAGCGCACTTCAAATGTGGTCTCAAAACCATGTGCACGTTTCAAGCGTGCATTTATGCACGGCCTTGGTATCCCAGAATTCTTTGCGTGCCACTGCACAGCTGCGCATTTCGGGTGAGAGGCCGGACTCGCTTGGAGATACAGTGCGTCTTCAAAAATAAAAGAAATCCAAAAACAGCAGACAATCAGCTCGGGCTGTATGAGCGCATGATCTCATAACTCACTCAAATCTGCAAACCAAACATGATACTCTTTAGTGACGAACTGATCCGCTCTGCTACCACAATGAAAAACATTAGTAATAAGAAAGCTGACGCAATTACATCTCATCTGAGTATCAGGAGTTTTTTTTTTTTTTTTTGTAAGACTTGGAGATTAAAGTTGTAAACTTGGGAAAATAAAGTTATCAAGTAAATAAAGTCATAAAGCTACTTTTATAGAGGGAGAAATGACTGAAGCTGGTCAACTGCAGGGTTATCTGTGGATGTATCAGTGGGTCATTCAGAGAGTTTTTGTGGTTTCTGAGGAAACAATCCAACTGATGATCAACATTTGAGATCCAACACCACGTCCCTCACACCAGCGGTAACCTACACCTGCAGAGACACCAACACTTTATTGTGGCATATGGATTCATATCATAAACTAAAGCTCAATGTTATTCACGGCTATTTATGACTGCATTGATGGATTTATCTACAGCATATCGAATTCTGCCTCCACAAAAGCAGTGATTTTCTCCAAGTCCACCTGTTTTTTTTTTCCCCATGGAAAAGACGTATATGTTCTTTTTTAAGTCTTTATACTTATGACAATGTAATGCTGATGTGCCAAAGGATGAAGTATCTCCTTGTTTGTGAAACCTATACTGAAGCACAGTTCCTTTAAATGCTTCATGGCCCTAATTTTAACAACTCTCCTTTGAAATAACAGGTAACTTTACGAATACATTCTAATATATTAATGACTTTATTCTTTTAAATTCACGACTCTCATACTCCTTCATCCAAAACATGCAATCACTGGATAAATTTTGTGGGAATGATCTGTGCTTGTATGTATCTATTGTTTTGTGTCTGTGCAAGGTCGCACTATTAAAAAATAACTGCTGCGCTCCGCGGTTTTTCTTCAAGTCAGTCGTGACGCGAGCCTGAGGGCAGGGACAGTTGGCTACTCAACCAGGAAGTCCTCAGAAGGGTAGACCGTCCCAATTCACAAAAACCGGACCATCTCACTCAAGGTCCTCGAGTCCACATAACGACAGTGCGCTCAGCTAAGCGCGCTTGACTGCGCTCAGCCGTATGCAGTCTCTGAAATGAGACACAGTAGTATGAGCCATCAAACGTCTTTTTAGCTTTACCTGGTTTCTTTAGCAAAGCAACCAAACACAACTCACCCACTCTCTTCCAGCTGCCGCTTGTTTGTGGGAGAGCCTTGAAAAGTCGATCACTGATCTTATGATAATTACTTCATGGAAATGCAATCAGACCGAGATGCTAAGGCAGAAGAACTGCCTCATTTGCACTACACATACAAGATACAAAAGAACTCTGACTGCATTTTCTTTAAGTAATCCTCATAAATGTTCTTGCTTGAGTTGAGAAACTCTGCTTTACTCAGTGATTGACTCGTCAGGGCTCCGCCAAACAAGTGGCTGCTGGAGGAGAGTGGGTGAGTTGTGTTTGTTCTCTTTGCTAAGGAAATCAGACAAAGCTAAAAAGATGTTTAATGGCTAGTACTATGGCTGGGACCCTATATGTACTGTAGATGAAGTTAGGTTCTATTCTGAGCATTATTTGTGGCTCTTTGGTTGAGGTTTGCGCGTGGAGACATAGACCGCTGTCTGTTACTATCATGCAGTCGTTGCTGAAGTTGGTGTAACTAGAAAAGGAACATTCATCTCTCAAAGGGGTGTTTAACTTGGTGTTACGGTGTGTTTGAACATGATTTAAATTTACCCCGGAGTATCCCTTTAAAGGTCAGCTATTATGGCATTTTTCATCAAGTTTAAATCAGTCCCAGAGGTCCCACAATAGAAAATTTGAAGTTTGTTGTGGATATTAGCCAGTCTGTACCCCCCTCATTTTGAGCTCCACTGAGAACGGGCTGATTCTGCGCCTGTACCTTTTAATGATAATGAGCTGTGTGTAACCACGCTCTTCCTCCCCAAGGCCACTTTGAGCTGCCAGGAGCGGTGGTCTGGAGGTCTTCTGAGGACTTCTTTAGAGGACCTCCAGACCACTGCGGCTGGAAGCACCAGACTGCGTCCGCGCCCCCGAGGAACACCTGCTGCTTACAGGGGGTGGGGGTGGGGGGGCTGTTGGCTCCGAGGGGATGTATATTATTGGTAGAAAAAAAACAACAAAGAGTGGATTTTTCATAATAGGGGAACTTTAAAGCTTGTCTCTGTGCTTGTCCACGCGGAACTCTAACAGGCTCTAACTCGATGAGACCTGGTGACAGATAGTACTTGGGAAAGCGCCCCTCTCTGACTGGAAAAGGTGATACGTGAAAATTTCCAGTTCATTGACCTGTAATAAGATACTTGACAAACACGCTGGTCTGAAAGGGACAAGCTGGTCATGAATGATAATGCTAATGAAATTAAGGCTTTCAGTAGGAGCTTCCAGGTCTTTGCCTCCTGAGAACACACACACACACACACACACACACTTTGTTTTGTTATAGAGTGGTCCTGGCTGGCTGCCCGGTGCTTGATTCACCGTCTACTGGGACAAACCATTCTGTCAAACAGTGAGGGGTGGGGGGTGTGAAAACAACATGTCACAGTATACACCAGTAACCAGTGTGTGTGTGTGTGTGTGTGTGTGTGTGTGTGTGTGTGTGTGTGCATGCGCGACCCCAGACAAAAGCATTCCCAGGCTTTCGTTGGTGTAAACTCTTGATATACAGTATCTTTGTTTATTCTGTGTTTGTATAAAGAAGGGTTGGACAAAAACTCTCAAGTGATGACCCCTGTTGCTACGGCAACAAGGACAAGACTCCAGCATGGGTCCGAGGCTCAGGGGCCCCCAATATCACCAGTGTGGATGCCAGTGTGGGAATGCCAGAGCTGTCCTCCTCCCTCCTTGTCCCTCTCTCTGTCCTCTGTTAACTCACACATGCACACACAAGAACAGAGCTGAGGGGCTGCAGTTTGAACACAATTGCCCCCAATGCCTCTTTTCTGTGGGGACAACCCTTAAGTGCCGCTTTATTTAAAGAATGAGATGTTTGTGGTACACAGAAGCTGCATCAGTTGAACCTTTGATAAAAAGTCAAAAGATGCTCCTCAGTAAGTTAAACTTTTGTTTTCTGTGTTTGTCTTGTGTGTCTGTGTGTGATTGTTTGTTGTGTTGTGTGTCTGTGTGTGATTGTTCGATTTGTTGTGTGTCTGTGATGATCCTGAAGTTCTCTAAAGAAAAGTTCTGGTTGGAACCGCCTACGGAGAAACTGAAGAAGCAGCTGGAGGAGGAGCTGAAGCTGAGCAGCGGCAACCTGAAGAGCCATGCCTGGTACCATGGACCAATCCCTTGGGAGGTCAGTGTCCAACATTCACATACACACACATACATGTTTTTGATCCTAAATGAAGACAACTTTTTGTGGATTAACACTTCTTCTTGTATAATTAATGATGCTGAGTAAAAAAACTGGATGTATAGATAATTCCCGTAACCCACAATGTTTGAAATGTGTTCTCAGGTGTCGGAGAGCCTGGTTTGTAACCACGGTGACTTCCTCATCAGAGACTCTCAGTCCAGTCATGGAGACTTCGTCCTCACGAGTCACTGGGAGCAGAAAACTCTTCACTTCTTGATCAGGAAGACAGTGCTTAAGTCCCGTGAGACATACACGAGGGTCCAATTCAGCCTGGAGGGTGAGGCCTTCGACTCTCTACCCGCTCTTGTACACTTCTATGCGGGAAGCAGAGCGGCTTTGACTCTGTGGAGCAGAGCTCAGATCCACAGGCCCGTGAACCGAACACTACCTCTTAGCTACCTGGAGATTACACCGTTCTGCCACAGGCAGCAGAATGGCGAGGGAAGGGTCTGCCCCAAGAGGTGAGGGGTCACTAAAATGTACTCTTCAATTTTATTTGTTTAATTTGTTAAACACTTCTGGGGGTTGCAGGAGTGCTCTCAAGCTCTCAAATAGTCAGTTCATCTTCACCAGTGTACACCAGCAAATATCAGTCGGGGTTGAGTTTTAGGTTCTTTAATGTTCAGTCTACATATGCTCCCATTGTGAAGAATCATCTAAAATCAACATCTCCCTCATCAACATCTCAGATTTTGCTGCCCCTCAGTTCCCAACACCTGGCAAACACAACCCGAATTTCAGCAAACACATAAATTCAGTTGTTAGGTGTTCTATATCCTGGAACTTCTGGACCCTTATAGTACCAGAAGACCCCTCAGATCCTTCATGTGGGGCTTATTATCTGTGCTCCATTTAAGGAAGTCGGTTATGTTTAATCTTTTAAATGTGTTTCTCTTATTTTTATTTGAAGTCTTTTTTTAACATCTTTATACTGCTTTTTGCAGAGTTTTTAGACTTTGAGACAACACTTCATTGAGAAGCAACAGAACACACACACACAGCTCTCCTTCTTTTTAATATCATTTTATGCGTCTAAGAAAGTAAAGACTGAAAATAAGGGGCTCTATTTTTGTGCCTGCCGGCGGCACGGCGGATGGTGGCGCAGCCCGCGCAGTGGTATTTTCGTCTGGCGGAGCGCGGCGCACAGCCAGTTTGGCATTTTCATAGACTGAGGCCCCCAAGCTGGGCATGGTGGTGCGGCAGGGGGAGGTGTCGACAGAGTCAGCTGGTGCAGTGACATTTTTGTGTGCGCCACTGGCGTTGAAAGTGTGCTGAAAGCTTGCCGATTCAAACCTGGTCAGCTTTTAGCGCAGGCGGAGCGCAGCTGGTCTAGTGGCATTTTGGTAGACCAGCGGCGTAGTGCGCATACGTCACCAATGCCTCACAGGCAGTTTCAACAGTGTCAGGCACATTTCAGTGCAATAAATAATCAACAACCAATATTCAGTGCAACTTTCTAAGTCAGTAAACACACTTAGATCTATATTGATATATTCTGATCTATATCTTATATAATGAGCACATTTGGCACGCGTTTGGACACACAACCTGACCTGAATCAACACAGCTGAAACCACATTAAATTAAATATCCGGTAAACAGTCACACATGATGAAGATAACAAGATATTTAATTTGTCTCCCCCCTTTTTTCCCTTCTTCCTCGTGCAGTGCGACCCAAACAAGTCTCCATATCCTCTCCCAGTCCTATTGCTGCTGCGGCGGCAAGGCTGAACAGATGATTTATTTTAGTGATCAGATGAGTTATTTACTTTGAAAATTAAAAAAAAAAAAAAAAAAAAAACTTTTATTCAAAATTACCTGTTTATCTGATGTTCTTACATCCTTAAAACTCTGTGAATATTCATCCAGAGTCAGGCCCACATACGAATGTTATAATATTCAGTTGCGTCAAGTTTATTTTATATGCCAACATCTATGAAAGAAAGAGCCAGGCCACGGAGCGCAATGCGTCATTTACACACAGGTGGTTCTGATTTTAATGCCATTATTGGAATTTCTGTTGTGATCTGTGTGCACAACCCACCTTTGTCATGTGGGGTCTAAATTTATGCAACTTTATGTGAGTGTCTTTATTTGTGGAAAAGGGTGATTGTCTTACCAGTGGGTCCAACCTTACACACACCAAATCCCTCTGTGCTTATTTGAGAGAGTGTGGAGGACGCCGTCCGCAGCGCTTACAGCGACACTTGTTAAGGGGCTGCTTTTGTCGCCATTGCGTCGTATTGCTGTCATCAGACATCTCTTGATCTCTTCGACTACTGCACGAAAATTGTAATACGCCTCGCCGGTGGCGGATTTAAAGGTGAGGAGAGGAGCTGATGTGCTTGGTGAAAACAGGTATCGGCTGTGTTGAAACCACTGCACGCCTTCTCTCTTCCCTCTCTACTACTTACGCCACTGGGAGGAGCTGAGTTAGGGAGGGGGGATACTTACACTGGGCTGCACCACTCACCAAAATACCAAGTGTGCTTGGGCACGCCTCGTCGGCACGGCAGACCTGACTTAAGCTGCGCCTGCGCCACCCCAGCGGCGAGGCATGAAAATAGAGCCCGAGGTGCCATTTCCAGGGTCAGGATAACCATCAGTCTCTTTCTTTCTTTATTCAGTCCTTCCTCTATTCACCACCAGGGGGCAGAAGTAAACGGGGAGCAGGATGATCAGCCGGTGCTGACTGCAGGAGACTCCTCTCTTTCTATCTCACACAGTCCCAGTGAGTTGTAAAAAAACTTTGCTTTATTTTCTCAGACTGTTTTTTTTCCATAAAAATAGTGGGTTTTTTTGGGGTTTTTTTTAAGCAGAGCTGCTAAGGTTGAGTATGGTTATTTAATTATACCACCTGCTTGTGTGCTGAGTGTGCAATTCATGTTCTAATTTCATCCCAGAAATGAGAAAACAGGAGCTAGAACTAATATGGTACTATCAACAGAGTGCAGATCTCCTCCAGGCGCATCTGTTGGAGTATGAAGGGCAGTAACCTTCTTACCACCCACACTTGACCCAATCTAGGAAATGATTGATTTTGTGTATTTGTGACACCTTGCTCCCATACTTTTGGGGTATGAAACGGTCTGCAGGTGCCGTCTTTCAAAACGAGATAACACTTGTAAAATTTTTTACGTGCCTTCTTTGGGTGTTTTTGAGCAACAACAAGGGCCAAAATGTGTACTTCTACAGAGTTGGTTATTCTTGATGTCTTAAAGCCTGGAGGAGAACCAGACACGACTGACCAAGATTTAGGGCAAGACTTTATAACTTAAGCTTAAAAAAAATTGGACACTGTGTAAAATATCAATAACAGATGAAAAAAAAGATTTGTAAACCATTTCAGTCTGCATGTAAATAAAATGGTGCAAAGACATCATCAGACATCAACTGCTGAAACTGAAAAATACTGTTTAATAAAAATGTGGTAATTTCAAATTTGATGCCAGCACAAAGTTTCAAAGCTAATGCAGTGACTTATACAACAGAGTCCTGTCTGTTTCTAATTCAGTGCATTAAATACACTGACACCTAAGTACACTAACGTAATTAATCAATTATTATCCAGCCAGAGTATGAGAAAGTCAGAAACAAGTGTCTGTACATCTAAAAATTGTATTTTGTTTTATTTAATTAAACCCATGAAAAGAGTAGAATGGAGGAAAATAGAATAATCTTTCTCCCCCCACCCCCTTCCCTTCAAATACAATACAAGTCAACAGAGTTAACATCCCTATATTCAAAGATAGAATCGTATAGAACCAGAAACATGGACATTGTCATCAAGTCATCAAAGAAGGTTTGTGGGTGCATTCTGTTATTCTGTCATTGACCTCCCGAAATTAAAAGATTAAAAGAAGTAAACATGTACTTCCTGCCCCCATAGGCATTATATATAGAACTGCAAAACATAGAGCATATCTTGAATTATATTATTTACTCCTTTTTGGCTTTGCCCCTTGAGAACAACCTCTGCCACAAAAACTTAAGCAAAGAAATAAAAAGGGTCAATATAAGCAAGACAATAGCAGTCAGAAATGCCATCACGTCAATGGAGTGGTACTGGATAAAGGACATCTTGTAGGACTCCGTGCGGAGATGTCGAGCTCCTTTGTGCCTCATGACAAACTCAATCCAGAACATGGCCCGATCCAGAGGTTTCATTGGCTGATCCCTCTGCAGGTTGGACAGTGTCCTCATCTTGTTCCTGTAGGATGGATCGTGTAGAACCTCCTTCACTGCCTCAAGAAAGTTGTCTTTGTCCACTGTTGCAATGTCCAAAACTTTTGCAACTCCTCTCACTTCCATCCTAAAGAAGTTGTCCTGCTGGTCAAACATGAGGGGGAGGCCAACAAGAGGGACACCATGGTAGATTGCCTCCTGTAGTCCATTGGTTCCTCCATGGGCCACAAACAGTCTGGTCTTGGGGTGACCAAGGAGGTCATTCTGAGGGAGCCAGTCCAACAGCAAGGTGTTGTTCCCCAAGGTGGATGGTCTCTTTCCTTTGTGCTTCCAGATCACCTTCTGAGGAAGTTGGGCAAAAGCAGCAGCAATGTCCTCGGTGATGTCCTCAGGAAGTTTTTCCACCAGAGTTCCCAAAGTCATGATGATGACACCATGTTCACCAGAACTCTGGACAAAGTCCTCAAGCTCCTTGGACAGGGGTTTGGAGGGTTTGCACTGAAATCCTGACATGTAGACAACATTTGGCATAGTGGGTCGTGGGAACTCAAAGATGAAGTCATTCCTCATGAGCCAGATGTCTGCAGACTGAAACAGCTCCATGTAATGTATGTCCTCACCAAAGTAACGACGGACAAATGGTTTGTAGTTTGGATCTGTGACATACATTATTTGCAATCGTGTAAAGAGAAAGATCAGGATATTTTTGACCCTTTGGAAAAATGTCATTTTATCTGTTAGCATTCCCATTGGTAATGGGACATAGGATAGTGGAGAAGGTGCAATTGCGTAATGTCCTTCACCCTGAATTGTCCACCTAACATTCAAGACAAGAGGAAGACCCAAACGGTGACTCAGAAGAACCCCTGCACCAATACCAGGATCCGTCAGCACTAAATCATATTTGGCATCATGCAGGCTCTGCATCAGTTTAGCATCCTCAAACATCACTTCCATCATTTGGAGCAGCACCTTGTGCATCTCATAGAACTGGTTTACCACTTCGTACTCCAGAGACAGACGAGCCCAAAGTGAAGCACCCTGCCTTCTCATCTTGATCATTGTGGAGACAAAATCTCCAAATTGCTCTTCATCAAATCCAGCTGATGAATTAATAGTGATCGACTTGTAGAGAGGGGACTCTGGCTTTATATACCAGCTGTCTAAAGGCCGGATCACTGTGATTTCATGTCCTCTGGAGTGAAGCTCTTCAATAATGACTTTCATATTGACCCAGTGGCTTCCATCCAAAGGGAACACCAGGACTTTCCCACTGTTTACAGGACATGATGAGCAGAGTAGCACTGCAAGCGTCACCAAGGTCCTCAGGTACATCTCTGAAAGCAAACATGCCAGGAGAATGAGTATGTTTGATCAGTCTTTGAAAAGAAGGTCTTGCAATTTTAAGGTTTGGCTCAACTTTGATGACACTTGATATATTTCTTTAAAAAATCTTTAAGACCAGCCTGGCTGTCAAAGGAATGTTTGCAGCAAAAATACAAGGTTCTATCAGAAAGCATCCACAGATTCATCATTGATCCTTAAACTAAAACCTGGACAGCATCTGTGCCTGCAAGAGGTCACCGATTGATGAAACCAACAGAACCACTTGATCTGCAAAAAGACAGAATTGGAAGAGGGATTGAAATACCCTAATGACATCCTGGTGTTCAGACACCATAGATCAAGTTGTAATGATGGTAAAGTGTTAGGATGCCAGCTGTTATCATGACTGATATTTATGTTATATTTTTGAGGATGTTCTCTAATTCTTGTATCTTGTATGTTGGTTAATGGGAAAAGTTTTCGCCATGTTGGTGTAGCGATTTGAATTCAAAATAAATCTCCTAAAATAATGGAATTAAATTATGACATTTATGCACTCGTTGAAGGGGCACCACCCACCACTCTGGTGGGAAAAAGACCAAACAAAGTTCAATTGAGTAATCAAACGTTGAATCAGTTAGATTTAAATCAATCTCTCATCTGAGGCCGGAACAAATGCTATATGATAACATAACTTCAATAAATGATGATCAAATAATGAGAAAATAAAAGAACATCTAATGAATAAATGAAGGAGTGGTTTGAACTGAACCTAAGACTGGAGGTTAATGATAGTGAGTGAATAAGGAAAAATTTAACCTATGTTAACGGGGTTACAAGGATAAATTTTAAAGAGGAATTTGGAGAAACTAAACTATAATGAGAAAAATAAGCTACTGAACGCTTGACAGCATCACCCAGTTGATACAGCAGTTTCGAGGAGATTGCCTACTTTTGATGTCGGTTCTCAGAGGCACTCTTGGAATGGATCAGCTGAAGTTCTGTGGCTACCGGACCGGATGCTGAAGGTTCGGCGGGGAGTTCTCTGCCGTGAATGGGTCTCAGGCTTCAGGACCGTGTCAGCGCCGTTAGATACTTCAGTTTTCTTGGCCTCTCAGAACTGGGTGGCAAACGCAGCTCGGCAGATAATGCTGGTCAGTCCTCCGGGCATTCGGGACTAGCTTTATTGCAGATTAATTCGTGCCGATAACTTAAGAAAATAATTTCGTTGGCCAGCCGATATTATCTTCAGGAGTCACTTTAGCGAACTAAACAAAATAAAAGACTTAGACCGAGGTTCTCTATGCGTGCCGCTAATTACTGATGCTTAAAGAGAAACTTGGGCATGGTTTCATCCAAGTTTCTGGAAAAGTCTGAGCTTAAGGCAAATAATAAAAACGCGGGGAAAAATTACAAGACGATGATCAGAGACAAAAACGCTAAGACGTTAAAACAAGAAGAGGGTCAAAAAACAAGCGAAACAAGCCTGAGGGCGGCAAAAGCTCAACTCTTTAAAGCAGTTCTCGTGGGGCATGAACCAAAGGGGGGGGGGGGGTAATGCAATCGTTCTTACCCATGCAAGTCCGTCGACTGGCAGCGAATTAAACTTAACTTGATAGTAAAAGCGAGCTAGATCTAATTTACTCACTCACTATGATTAAAGCCGCTTTTTTAAAATCACATATGATCACATTTCACTTCATTGTTTCTTATGAGCAGATGCATTAAACCATAAAATTTAACGTAAAGTAAACTTTGATCAGCCGTTTTTTTGACAATCTATAACCAGAGGATTAACGACTCTCTGAAAGTAAGAGGGGGGCAGAAAACCAAATTATCTATTCGAACAGAAACACCAACAAGCATAAGAAACACATACGTGACACAACTTAACAACAATATAACCTTGTCGATTGATACTTAGTAAATGATTAACATATATGTTCGGTTGAGGTAGATAAAACATAGCCTTTATACATTCAAACACTCTTAACTCGAGTATAAAAGAGTTTTCAGTTACTTCTAAAATTGCTAACCTATCTTTAGAATACCATTTACTAAACTACAGGTATATAAAAAAAATGCACATAATTCAATGAATACATATTTGGTTCAGACCAAACCATATTCAGACAACACCACCAGGAGGAGCTCTTGGTCCATGGAAAACCTGGAATAAATTTGTGAAGTTAACAGTTTGGCTTCTAGACATGCGAGACAAATGGGACAAAGACTGTTTCATTGATGATGTGGTGTACAGATAGAAAATCCTTTTCAGTCATTCTCTTCCTTCTGCACCTAGAGAGAGTCACAGGAAAAACGGTCATTCAGAGAATTTATGGCAGGGGCCTGTTCCAGGGATTGGCGCCAAAATGCAGCCTTGGAGAGCTTTCTCATGATCTTTTGGGTCAATCCTTAAACTGAGGTGTCAACTATGAGCTTTTCCAGCCAAGGTGAGAGGCTGAATGTTTATTCAGTCTGGGGGTCCTGTGCTTGATAAGCAACTTGTCTCTTTGAAGTGTAAAAGATTCACTATCAACCTTTTGGGAAGAGGCCCCCCCTTGGTTCTGTCCTGGATCGTAAACAGCCATAACTTAGGTGTGAAACATTACTCTCATTTCCTCTCCTAATCGGGGGAGCCTGCATTCCTTCAGTGGGTGAATTAAAGATGAACAAAGCAGAAAGCAGTCGTCTTGTTACATTGGGATATTGTGGGGTCCTTTGTGCAGCACAGACTCTATATAAATGTGCTGTTAAATAACTAACTTTGGTTATTTTTTTTGACTGCAGCATATAAGAAAAGTAAACACATGATAAAGTTTGTTTATGTATTTAAACCTAAGGGGTAATAATGGGCAATTAACAATTTCCTGCTTTTATTTAGTTTGCCACACCAAAATTTGTCATGTATGAAATAAAACAACCCTGTTTATTTCCCAAGTTTTTTATTGCTCTAAAAAATTGTTAAAACAACACATTTTCTAATGTATGATCACACAATGATGGCATTGTATTAATACTAAAAATTGTAACAATATGTTAAAAACCAGCTCAGTCTCTGTGACATTTGACAGTTTATGTTTCTGCTTTTGAGGGATCAGGAACAATTCATACAGTATTTACATCATTCTTTTTTGGCTTTGCTTTGTGAGAAAATTATCCTCAACAAAAACTTTACCACAGAGAGAAAAACTATTATAATAAGCAAAAAGAGTGACACCAGGAATGCCATCACATCAATAGAGTGGTACTGGATAAAGGACATCTTGTAAGACTCAGACCTCAGATGTCGAGCTCCTTTATGCCTCATGACAAACTCAATCCAGAACATGGCGTGGTCCAGAGGTTTCATTGGCTGATCCCTGTGCAGTTTAGACATCATATTCATCTTGTTCCTGTAGGATGGATCGTAAAGAACTTCCTTCAGAGCCTCAAGGAAGTTGCCTTTGTTCAAAGCTGCTATGTCCAGGACTTTGGCTACTCCTCTTGCTTTCATCTTGAAAGCATTCTCTTGCTGGTCGAACATGAGGGGGAGGCCAACAAGAGGGACACCATGGTAGATTGCCTCCTGTAGTCCATTGGTTCCTCCATGGGCCACAAACAGTCTGGTCTTGGGGTGACCAAGGAGATCATTCTGAGGGAGCCAGTCCAACAGCAAGGTGTTGTTCCCCAAGGTGGATGGTCTCTTTCCTTTGTGCCTCCAGATCACCTTCTGAGGAAGTTGGGCAAAAGCAGCAGCAATGTCCTCAGTGATGTCCTCAGGAAGTTTTTCCACCAGAGTTCCCAAAGTCATGATGATGACACCATGTTCACCAGAACTCTGGACAAAGTCCTCAAGCTCCTTGGACAGGGGTTTGGAGGGTTTGCACTGAAATCCTGACATGTAGACAACATTTGGCATAGTGGGTCGTGGGAACTCAAAGATGAAGTCATTCCTCATGAGCCAGATGTCTGCAGACTGAAACAGCTCCATGTAATGTATGTCCTCACCAAAGTAACGACGGACAAATGGTTTGTAGTTTGGATCTGTGACGTAGGATATTTGCAAACATGTAAATACATAAAACAAAAGGTTCTTGACTCTTTGGGAAAATGTCATTTTATCCGTCAGTTCTGACCCTGGCACTGGGACATAGGAAAGAGGAGAGGGTGCAATTGCATAATGTCCTTCACCCTGAACTGTCCACCTTACATTTAGGACAAAAGGAAGACCCAAACGATGGCTCAGCATGACCCCTCCTCCATGAAAAGGGTCTGTAAGAACCACATCATATTTGGTATCATGCAGGTTCTCCATCAGTTCCTTATTCTCAAACATCTCTTCCACCATCAACAGATTCTGTCCAAACATCTGATAGAAATGCACCACCAATTCATACTCCAGAGACAGACGAGCCCAAAGGGATGCCCCCTTTCGCCTCATATCAATCATTGTTGTTACAAATGATCCAAATATGTCTTCATCAAACCCAGCAGAGGAGTTTACAGTGATAGACTTGTAGCAAGGGGATTCTGACTTGATGAACCAGCTGTCAGATGGTCGCAATACTGTGATCTTGTGTCCTCTGGAGTGCAGTTCTTCAATAAGGACTTTCATATTGATCCAGTGACTCCCATCCGCTGGAAACACCAAGATTTTCCCTCCATATACAGAGGATGAAGAGCATATCAGCACTGCAAGAGCCAGCAGAGTCAGTTGATACATCTCTGAAAGAAATCATGAAGAGATGTACGGATGTTAGATCCATCCTTCTGAACAAGTTTTTTAAAGTCTTGTGATTTACTTAAAGTTCTGCATATACGGAACTCAAAGACAGATAACAGATCTAAAGTCCTAAATCTTGTAAAGACACTTTACCCTTATCACAGCTCTTGTTGCTGTTAGAGTTAAAAAAAAAAAAAAAAAAACCTCCAGAGCCCTTACCAGTCATGGCCAAATGTGTCAGTCTTCAGAAAGCTGTTTGGTTAGTAGTTTATATAATGATATGACCATCTAAGTCCCAGTACTTCCTAAGAGAATTAGAAGCAATTTAATTATTTACTCTGAACTTCAATTGAATTAAAACATCATGCACCTTCTTGCTTGCTAGTTTTCATTTCAAAAACCTCTTGACAGCACAGTAAAGCCAGAATAATATGCACTTTTGGGTCCAACAGAATTGAATGTTCCCACAGTATTTCGAGTTTGAACTTTCACATTGTGAGCTAAGCATACAGGTGCTGCTAATCATACTGACGTCAGCAGGCAGCCACATCACAGAGGAGCGCTATTTTAGAGAGTGAAAAACTTAATCGAGTACTGATAATCAGTCTCAGATTAATGTTTACTTATGTCCTCAGGTTGGCGTGTTGTTACCAGTGTTTGAACCTCACTGTCACAGTGTTATCCTTTAAAAAATATGCTAAACTGGTAAGGAATGCTAAACATTGTGAATGTGGATTACTACAAAACCATAAGCTCTGGGGCTACGTGGTGGTGCAGTGGGTTGGGCTGATGCCTCACGAAAGGTTCCTGGTTCGAAACAGATGTCTTCCTGTGCAGTTTGTATGTCCTCTCCATGCTCGGGGAGTCCATTGCTCACTCTAAGATGACGCTAGGTCTGAGTCTGTGCTTATATAGCTGTTCAACTCTATGTGTCTGCCTGACCCCCCTCTGCCACCAGTTAGATGGACAGATAGTTGGACTTGACTGTTGCTGTCTTTGCAGGTACCTGATACACTGATAAAGGCTTCATTCATGCGGTTTCTTTTTCTGGTGCATGTATTTAAACAATTATAATATCTTTGCATGATATTTCTGGTCAATTTTTGGTTGCAATTGACTTCACATGCTGGGTTAATCTGATTGGTTGTGTGTCCTTACAGTTACTTTTTGACCAATGCTATCACCCCCTTGAAAAACATGTGTTTCTGGCCAAACTTCTTGATATCACTTATTGCAAGACAATGAACCATCTTCAGTTGTTCTGCAGTAAAATAGACCAAAGTTAGACAAAGCAATAATATGAAAGACATAGTTACACATTTTTATTCACAACATTCACTCTTTTTTCTGAATAAGTCAACAGTGTTGTATCATCATTCAGAGACATAAGTAGCAGAAAAACATCTCTAATCCCCAGTGGTATATTTGTTTAAATATTTTCACATAAATCACATCACTAACTAAACGTGAGAACATAAAGAAGGAAAAAAAAGGATAAAGAAATAAAAAGGATCAATACAAGCAAGACAATAGCGGTCAGAAATGCCATCACGTCAATGGAGTGGTACTGGATAAAGGACATCTTGTAGGACTCCGTGCGGAGATGTCGAGCTCCTTTGTGCCTCATGACAAACTCAATCCAGAACATGGCCCGATCCAGAGGTTTCATTGGCTGATCCCTCTGCAGGTTGGACAGTGTCCTCATCTTGTTCCTGTAGGATGGATCGTGTAGAACCTCCTTTACTGCCTCAAGGAAGTTGTCTTTGTTCACAGTCCCAATGTCCAGGATTTTGGCCACTCCTCTTACTTTCACCCTAAAGAAGTTGTCCTGCTGGTCAAAAATTAGAGGGAGGCCATGGGTGACCAAGGAGATCATTCTGAGGGAGCCAGTCCAACAGCAAGGTGTTGTTCCCCAAGGTGGATGCTCTCTTTCCTTCGTGCCTCCAGATCACCTTCTGAGGAAGTTGGGCAAAAGCAGCAGCAATGTCCTCAGTGATGTCCTCAGGAAGTTTTTCCACCAGAGTTCCCAAAGTCATGATGATGACACCATGTTCACCAGAACTCTGTCCTCAAGCTTCTTGGACAGGGGTTTAGAGGGTTTGCAATGAAATCCTGATATCTAGACAACATTTGGCATTGTGGGTCGTGGGAACTCAAAGATGAAGTCATTCCTCATGAGCCCGATGTCTGCAGACTGAAACAGCTCCATGTAATGTATGTCCTCACCAAAGAAACGACGAACAAATGGTTTGTAGTTTGGATCTGTGATATACCAAGTTTGAAAACATGTGAAGAGATACACTGAAAAGTTCTTGACTCTTTGGGAAAATGTCATTTTATCAATCAGTTCTGACCCTGGTATTGGGACATAAGAGATGGGGGAAGGAGCTATAGCATTATGACTCTCACCCTGAATTGTCCACCTAACATTCAGGACAAGAGGAAGACCCAAACAATGACTCAGAAGAACCCCTCCACCGAGAGCAGGGTCTGTGAGAACCAAATCATATTTGGCATCATGCAGGCTCTGCATCAGTTCTTATTCTCAAATATCTCTCTCACTGTTAGGAGCAACTGTTTATTTATTTGATTGGACTGCTCTAGGAGTTTATACTCCAGAGACAGAGGAGCCCAAAGCGAAGCACGCTGCCGTCGCATGCTGATCATTGCGGTTACAAATGACCCAAAGTGTTGTTCATCAAATCCCGAGGAAGAATTGATGGACTTGTAGAGAGGGGACTCTGGTTTGATGTACCAACTGTCCAGTGATAGCAACACTGTGACTTCATGTCCTCTGGAGTGAAGCTCCTCAACAAGGACTTTCATATTGATCCAATGGCTTCCATCCAATGGATCCACCAAGATTTTTCCTCCCTGTACCAAGTATGAAGAGCAGAGCAGCACCGCAAGTGCCACCAAGGTTTGTCGGTACATCTCTGAAAGAAATCGCGTCAAGAGAGGTCAGGGAGGTGGATCCATCCTTTTCAACAGGCTCATGAACTTAACCTTAACCTGACCCCTAATCTTACCAATGAACAACAGAACAGTAAGAACAGGAAATCTGATTGGATTAATTACTGAGGTACTAAGCTCCTACTCCAGAAAACAGCTATCCAGGAATATCAGCCAACAGAGGCAGGACTTCAAGGAAAAGTTTCAACACCTCTTTTTTAATGCTACGTGGACAGATTTGAGAAGTAATCCCTGTTAACTAGACAATTAATTGAATGGTTTCAAATGCACCCAATTCACCCATACAAAGTGACTACCAAGGCAGCAAACCAATAAAGCAAGCTATTGAGTGAGGGAAAAGAGGCAATGATGACCGTAAGGATCAGGTTTCTGTTTTTGTACTGCAAAGTAATCATGCAGACACCAAACAGAGAGCAGAAAAGAGAGACAATACAAAGATGGAAAGGGGTCGTTTTTTATTTTTCTGAGTCTGAAAATCCCAACCTGAGGACTGTTGATTCTGAATATACTATGTTAAAGCCTTGTGGGTAAAACTATGGGTAAAGTGTTTATAATGCAATTCAAAAACATTTGCATAAGTTCAAAACAAACGCAGCAGCTGAGATGAACTTCAAATTAACAACTGCACTGACAGCAAAGGATTTACAAGTACACAAATTATGCAAAGTTTAAGAGAACTGCATGTCAAGACCATTTGGTGGAAGACCTTCAGTCTTGTGAAGATGCAAAGTGCAACATTAGAGCCTGATAACTTCCCGTGGTTGTTGGAGAAGTTACTACTTACTTACTGTAGACCTCTGAGCCTCACACCAGGTAGATGTTATCGCCAGCTGAGAGGCTCACTGTGATCTGTAGCTGACTAAAGTGGCCTAGCAACAATTACTGTAGCAAAGCTTCCTGTCCATCAGTCAGTACATTTACATGACACTCGAGAAAATCAAATTATTGCCTTACTCAGATTAAGAACAGACAACTAAAGTGCATCTAAACACCTTAGTCCGACTATAATCTGAGTTTGAGAACTGCGATTGGAGTCAGAGACCTCTGATTAAGACACCCAGATAATGCAATTGGAATTCGATTTTCTCTACCATGTAACCAGCATAGTCAGATTGGACAATGCATGTGCGCGTGTGCCACGGCCCTGTAGCCCCGGAACATAAAGACCAGAGAAGAGGAGTAGCGTGTACCTCATCTGCAGAAAAGTAGTGCATACATCATCTATGACAAAAACAACGCTGTACGATGCTCCATCTTCTGGCTCCAAAATGCCCAGCAGCAGTTGTAGCCACTTCTGACTTCTGGCATGGACCTGCTGTTGTTGTTGACAGTTGTCTGGGGTTGGAAACAGCGCCGCTGAAAAGACCCATATTGCCCCCTAGTTTTGGGGAAAAGGACACTTTTACATCAATAACCCGATTTTTTTAGCTGCATGTATACGCGCACAAGGAGAGATCCCAGAGATACTTTGAAAATCCCAAAGAAACTTGCACAACATGGATAGGAGAGTATCATTGGAAAAGTCAGTCTCATTGTGATCTTATTTAAAGAGAGAACTGTCAACCCACTGTGTCTTGTGGTATTTGAAGCTCTTTTTGGTAAAGTCACAAGCAAACTCTTTCTGAGCTAGGTCTGTCTGCTTTGATAAAAAACCTTTGTTTGATAGAGGATACACCAGGGGCGGATCTAGGATTCTAGGCGATCAGGGGCATAGCCGTGAGGGTGCAGATGCCGATTTACTTTTTCCGCCTTTTTTTTGCTACCACGTTTTACCTCAGCTTACCACCGATACAAAGAATGCTTAAAAATTCAGACCCTTTAATGATGCAAATCTTTTACCACTAGCCTTGTTGAAGTCACTGTGCTTTCTGCCTCCATCATTGTTTACTTTCCTCGTGAAGCACGTAGCAAGATCCGAGCATGTATCCGAGCGCTTTGTTAAGCTTTATTAGCCTATCAGAGGTACACAGGTATGATGATTTGATTCACCACGACTCCAGAAATGATTGAAAAACTACAGGATGTTACAAAATGACATATCTGCGCTCCCGGCTTAAAGAATAGACATGCACAACAGTGCCGCCAGCTTGGAAGGTTGAAATACGTTTCACGCTTCTCCTGGCTTGAAGGGTTGAAATACCAACAAGCACCCAGCTTTCCGAGTAGAAATGCGCAGGTTGAATGCGTACATGCTGTCCCGGTTTGAATGGGTTAATATTTGCTGTGGAGGCGCTTGACTTGTCGTTAGACGCTGGCAGTAGAGTAGAGGAGTAGTAACAGCCACTCGAGGGAAACGCTTCTTCATCTGAACAGGAAGGCTACAGGCTGCTTTCCTGCGCATGCTACCACTCTCTGGTGAACTCAAGTACTGCACATTAAACTCAGACCAACTCAGATCCGAGATCTGGGGCTCTTGAGAAAACAAACGAGGCTTGAGCCTAAGTAGCCACCCCCTAGATCCACCACTGGGATACACATTTGCAAAGCATCCTAACTCCATGAGTATTTTCTGCCTCTACCTAATCAGTGCTGAGAGAGCAGATACTGTCAGAATAAAGTTTCAGAGATTTTCAAGGATTTTTTGCATAACACCAGGATTCCTTGCAGCTCACCAACTGCTGCATAACAACATGGTGTAGGAAGTCCTGCTGCTAAAGCCCTTAAGGTTTACAAAGCTGTGTGCATTAGGACCATGTTCCCTCTCTTAGGTTTTTACAGCTTTGTGTTCTTGAACTTGTTTGGCTCAGTAATGTGTGGTGTGGACTCAAAATGAATTTTTTTGGGAATAGACTTTTGTATTTATGTACAAGTTCAAAGGTCACAGACACCTTTGCATATTGTGTCCCAAAAAGAAGAACCCTGACTCTTTGTAAAAGAGTTCATACTCAGCCTCACAAAGTGCCTTATACAAATTTGAGACATACAAAAATAATGTGGTTAGAAAAAGACCAATGCACAGACTTTTTCATGCACCATTTTGAATGGTTTTCTTTGCAAACTTTGCAAACTTATACACATTTCTGGAGACCAAATGTAGTAAAAACAAGTGCCTGTCCCTCTGAATGAGGAAAGAACAGTCTGACTTGGCAGAACTCTGACTCTGTACAGGAAACATCTGACAGTTTTCCAAGTCGATGTAATCCAAAATAAATCTCCAATGACCTAGCTCTAATGTCACAGCTCATTATGTTTCTTGTGTTATTAATTTGCTAATCCAGCCTTTGCGTTTTTAATCTTATGGTCAAGAAGCTGAACTTTGAGAATACAAAGCTTGATAAAGTCAGGTTGTTCAGCGCTATCATAAAACAGTCCTGTTGTTGAGGTTGTCATTCGGAAACATCTGGTAGTTATTGTCTAGCTCTGTTGCATACTGAGGCCAAAGCCCCCATCTGCAAATACTCTGAATTTAGCCAAACACAGTCATGGACATAACTGTTACTGTGATATCCAACATGAGACCAGAAACATCAAAAAGAATTTGGTAAATTCACCACAGATTCTTTGCTCTTCAAGCCCTAAAACACTTTTGGTGGTCTTTACTGTTTGATGTCAACACTTACCGAGAGTGTCCGAGACAACAGCGTTCACGTGTCGAGACTTGTTGTTTGTGCGTCCAGCCCCCTTGCAGCACACAGCTGACTGACTGGGGTCCAGCTCTGGCTGTCTGAGCAGCTCAGAGGGCATGGGTACTGAGGTAACAGGACTAAAGTTCAGAGAGAGACAGAGAGAGAGAGAGAGAGAGAGAGAGAGAGAGAGAGAGAGTGTGTGTGTGTGTGTGTGTGTGTGTGTGTGTGTGTGTGTGTGTGTGTGTGTGTGTGTGTGTGTGTGTGTGTGTGTGTGTGTGTGTGTGTGGGGAACAACAACAGGAGACACAATAGTTACACAAGGCAGAGCTGAATGGGTCTCATGTGGCAAAGTCAGAGTTTGAACCTGAGATGAAGTACTGAGATAAGCCTGCTAGTAGAGAGCAAAGGTAAATCATCTTAGGAGACTGACAAAGGTGTTTGACCTAAAGCCTGCTTTTATAAAATGTCATTGCAGAGATTAGAAAGTGAACTTTTTACTGTTTATTCAGTCCCAACAATGGTGCGCATGTTTTGGGTAAGCATCTGTTTATGTCCAGCCTGCAAGTTCTGCAGCATAAAATAAGAATGAGTGGATTTCATCATCTACTTATGGAAGTGTGTTGCTGCCCTAATAGAAAAAGGCTCAGTATCACGTAATTACGTGATACTTGTGTTATTTCATGATATGATATTTTCACTTTATAACAAGATAAACGGACAAGAGGTATAAGAATAGATTGAAAACATTTGGAGAATCATGACATCAAAAACAGGACCAAGGAGACCCAGAACTGTTGGGCAGCTGAAAGCCTCTATAAGATCTCCTGGGTTCACTAAGGCTTACAGAGTCCATATCCAACACCTATTGAAAAATATAACAAATTAAACTGATAGTCAAGAGAAAGAGAGAACAGTCAGCTAAACTTCACACTGTGCTATATTCTCAGTCATGAGCTGCAGCCAGTATGATGTAAGCTGAAGGTCACAACCGTGTAACCAAACAGAAGGGAACTATGTAACCTCACTGACATTAAGTAAATAACCACATCCATGTACAGGCTGCCATACGTAAATCTATTGGGTTAATTCCTAGTATCAATACAATCAATTTATTACGTTTTAAAACAATATTTGATCGATATGTGTCATCCAGAGGATAAACTTGCTGAGCACAGATTGATGTTGTTAGATCATAGGAATATAAATCAATACATCGATGTTGTAGATGAATCGTTACACCCCTGCATACTATGAAAAGTTTTAAATCACAAGGTAAAGGAATTTTGTCATAATCTGAGAAAATAGATGTAAATTGCTCAAATCTTGGTCACACGCACGCACGCACACACACACACACACACACACTGTACTTCAATCCCTCTCACTGAGTCCTACTGCCCCGAATTCTCTCTGGCACATTAAACCTGGTTTAACCAGCAGCTCATTATAGTCCTTAATGAGACCAGCATTTCCTCCTGTTTCACCAATATTCACTAAGGCCTACTTAAATGTTTCATAACCACAGACCCAGCTGCTGTTTGGGGAAATAAATGAGCCATTTTTGAGTTCACTGTCTTAAAAGATTATTCCACAGTTTTTAACCTGTGCCCTGTTCTGATATTGTGTCTTAAACTGACTAAAATTATGTGTTCTCGTTAGAGACAAATAAATTGAGTGAATTAACTGTTTTACAGGAGGAGGATAAACATGAAAGCACTAAATCTTTCTGCATCTAAAAGTCCCCAAGACCCTGAATCTAGCAAAAACAGGGCAGGTTTTTAAACGTTTATATGACTGTCTGACCCGGGGATTCCACCGCATGCAGATTTGCTCCACTCTGCCTTGGAATGGCAGTAAGATCAAACACGCAAGCATACAGTTGCCACCGGATCTGCTCCACTGCAGCAAGCGGAGGAGAAACACTTGCAATATTACCGATATATCTATTGAGACTGGCCAAGATCTTGTGTGTTTCACCGTGAGACATTGGGCTCTATTTTCATGCCTCGCCGCCAGGGCGGCGCAGGCGTGGCGTTTGTCAGGTCTGCCGCACCGATGAGGCATGCTCTAGCGCACTTTGGTACTTTGGTGAGCGGCGCAGCCCGGCGTAAGTATCCCCCCTCCCTAACTCAGCTCTTCCCAGCAGCGTAAGTAGTACAGAGGGAGGAGATAAGGCGTAGAGTGGATTTAACACAGCCGAGACCTGTTTTCACCAATCACATCAGCTCCTCTCCTCACTTTTAAAGCTGCCACCAGCAAGGCATACTACAATTTTTGTGCAGTAGTCAAAGAGGTCAAGAGATGTCTGAAGATAGCAATGCCACACGACGGTGACAGAAGGCAGCCCCTTAACAAGTGTTGCTGTAAGCCCTGCGGAGGGCGTCCTCCACACTCTCAATTAATCACAGAGGGATTTGGTGTGTGTAAGGTCGGACCCACTGGTAAGCAGAGATGGGAATTGTGGAGTCAGCAAGTCATCTCCATGCCATGTATTTGTTCTGCTCTGCCACTGAACCAGGTGCTTCCAATGAGCAGTCAGGATGGTGAGCTCATTAGTGAAGGCACCTGGTTCAGTAACTGAGCAGAGCAAATACATGGCATGGACATGACTTGCTGACTCCACAATTCCCATCTCTACTGGTAAGACAAACACCCTTTACTACAAATAAAGACACTCACATAAAGTTGCATATATTTAAACCACATGTGACAAAGGTGGGTTGTACGCACAGATCACAATTTGATCACAATTAAAATCAGAACCACCCGTGCGTAAAGGAAGAATCACGCTCCATGACCTGGCTCTTTCTTTCTTAGATGTTGGCATATAACATGAACTCACGCAAGTGAATATTATAATGTTTGTATGTGGGCCTGACTCCGGATTGAATATTCTTAGAATATTAAGGATGTGAGAACATTAGATAAGCAGGTAATTTTGAATGAAAGTTTCTATTACTGTATTGTTCAAATTTTCGAAGTAAATAACTCATCTGATCACTGAAATAAATCATCTGTTCAGCCCATAGACTGTATATACTTTGGACAACCTGGTTCCACATACCGCCACGGATTTGAAGCCAAATAGCTCTCGGTATTTCCGGGATTTTTCTTCATTTCCTGAAACCAGTGCTGTGCAGTAGCGTTGTGCGCATTTGGCCACGCAGTCGCAGAGAGTCACTGTGATGACACTCGGCTCAAACAGTGTTTCCCGCGGGTGAGCTATGCAATCCCTGAACGCCCATAGGCTGTATCAGGTGTCAATCATAGCAAACATGAACCCTCTAATAGATTTTAAAAACGGAGCTTCACAGAAAAAAGAGGACGCACCAGTCTTACAATAATGTCAACATCACAAGCAGGGGGGAGAAAAATTTATATTCTGTGTAATAAATTTCCAAAGTTTGTCAACAGCTCCATAAGCTTTGCTGGCAGAGGCGGGATTTATGACGTATACTGCAGCCCATCAACAGAGGGTGCCATTCTCGGAGTGGCTTCACCCAGCGATGAGGCAGACTCTGTCCATTCTATATACAGTCTATGGTTTAGCCTTGTCGCCGCAGCAGCAGCAGGACTGGGAGAGGACATGGAGACATGTCTGGTCGAGCTGCGCAAGGAAGAAGGAGAATAAGGGGGGTGACAAAATTAATATCCTGTTAACTTCATCATGTGTGACTGTTTACTGGATATTTAATTTAATGCAGTTTCAGCTGTGTTAATTCAGTCAGGTTGAGAGTCCGAACACATGCCAAACATGCTCATCAGATAAGATATAGATCAGAATATATCGATATACACTCACCGGCCACTTTATTAGGTACACCATGCTAGTAACGGGTTGGACCCCCTTTTGCCTTCAGAACTGCCTCAATTCTTCGTGGCATAGATTCAACAAGGTGCTGGAAGCATTCCTCAGAGAGCTTGGTCCATATTGACATGATGGCATCACACAGTTGCCGCAGATTTGTCGGCTGCACATCCATGATGCGAATCTCCCGTTCCACCACATCCCAAAGATGCTCTATTGGATTGAGATCTGGTGACTGTGGAGGCCATTTGAGTACAGTGAACTCATTGTCATGTTCAAGAAACCAGTCTGAGATGATTCCAGCTTTATGACATGGCGCATTATCCTGCTGAAAGTAGCCATCAGAAGTTGGGTACATTGTGGTCATAAAGGGATGGACATGGTCAGCAACAATACTCAGGTAGGCTGTGGCGTTGCAACGATGCTCAGTTGGTACCAAGGGGCCCAAAGAGTGCCAAGAAAATATTCCCCACACCATGACACCACCACCACCAGCCTGAACCGTTGATACAAGGCAGGATGGATCCATGCTTTCATGTTGTTGACGCCAAATTCTGACCCTACCATCCGAATGTCGCAGCAGAAATCGAGACTCATCAGACCAGGCAACGTTTTTCCAATCTTCTATTGTCTAATTTCGATGAGCTTGTGCAAATTGTAGCCTCAGTTTCCTGTTCTTAGCTGAAAGGAGTGGCACCCGGTGTGGTCTTCTGCTGCTGTAGCCCATCTGCCTCAAAGTTCGACGTACTGTGCGTTCAGAGATGCTCTTCTGCCTACCTTGGTTGTAACGGGTGGTTATTTGAGTCACTGTTGCCTTTCTATCAGCTCGAACCAGTCTGGCCATTCTCCTCTGACCTCTGGCATCAACAAGGCATTTCCGCCCACAGAACTGCCGCTCACTGGATATTTTTTATTTTTCGGACCATTCTCTGTAAACCCTAGAGATGGTTGTGCGTGAAAATCCCAGTAGATCAGCAGTTTCTGAAATACTCAGACCAGCCCTTCTGGCACCAACAACCATGCCACGTTCAAAGTCACTCAAATCACCTTTCTTCCCCATACTGATGCTCGGTTTGAACTGCAGGAGATTGTCTTGACCATGTCTACATGCCTAAATGCACTAAGTTGCCGCCATGTGATTGGCTGATTAGAAATTAAGTGTTAACGAGCAGTTGGACAGGTGTACCTAATAAAGTGGCCGGTGAGTGTAGATCTAAATGTATGTGCTGACTCAGATAATTGCTCTGAATATTGGTTGTTGTTGATTATTTATTGCACTAAAATGTTCCTGACACTGGAAACCTGCCGACAAGGCATCAGTGACATATGCATACTATGCTGCTGGTCTACCAAAATACCACTAGACCAGCTGCGCGCCACCTGTGCTAAAAGCTGACCAGGTTTGAATTGGCGCGCTTTCAGCACACTTTCCTCGCCGCCAGTGAGCACGAAAATGTCACTGCGCCAGCTGATTCTGTCGACACCTCCTCCTACCGCATCACCACGCCCAGCTTTGCGCATCTCAGTGCGCCTCAGACTATGAAAATACCATACCAGCTGTGCGCTGGGCTCCGCCAGAAGAAAATACCGCTGCGCCGGCGGGCACGAAAATAGAGCCCATTGAATGAGATTGGCGGTGTAGGCTGTATAAACACCTACATCCCACAACCCTGGCCCTCCCTATTATCACGTGAAGAACAGTTCAACGTAGTGTCTTAATTTTATTTTGAAAAGGAGCCGATGCTGATCAGGGCCAATCTGCAGCGGAGCTGGGCAGTGGACAGATTGTGTGGAATTACTCAAGCATTGGTTATAATGCTTGTGTATTTGATCTGCCTGCCATTCCAGAGTGGAGAGGAGCCGTTCTGTAGCCTGTGGAAGTTAGCCATGACATGTTGTCCTGGTCTTCTAAGTTGGGCACTGTTCACACTTTTGAGTTTATAATTATTCTATCTTTCCTCCTGGTCCAGCCCCACTGTTCAGAAACCCGAGCAGCAGCTGTGCAGGCAGAGTGGCTCCCTCTCCGTCCCCCTCCAGGCATTCAGAAGCTGTCCGACCCCCGCCCTCTCCAAACAGCGCCCTCCAAAGGCCGCTAAATGACAGAGCCCAGCCCTCTCTGGACCAGGACTCCCCTTTCCCTGATGGGAGCTGCTACACTGAGCTGTACCTGGGTCCTCAGAGCTATGTAGGGAGGCTGCAGGTGGAGGACGGGTTGGTGGGTGTTGACCCACTGAGGGTGGAAGACGGGAATGTGTACTTCTCGCCAGTGGTGGAGACGGTGTCGTCTTTCAAACCTTGCAGGTACAGGTCGGCGCTGATGTCCAAAGAGAACAAACCTCTGGAGGTTTCCATCCTGAGGAGGGTGAAGGAGCTGTTGGCTGAGGTCGACCCCAGGACGGCGGCCAAACACATCACAAAGGCTGACTGCACGGTACTGTTCAAACTACTGATGTTTACACTGGGAAATTAAATAAGGGCTAAAGGGACTTTTTTTTTTAAATGGGTCTCTTCACTGGGGCTGACCTTTTATGCAGATATCAGTTTATACAGAGATAGAAATCCTCCTCAGATCACCAACCATTGGAGCTGGAGGTCTTTAGGGAGGACTGTGTTCCTCCTGCTTTTGCTCTATACAGATTAAATTTGTATTTGAATTTTTAGTATTTTGGGTTTAAAATCCAGAAATTTGCATCTGTAAGTCAACAACCTTTGTGCATTATATGATAAGTTATACATAAAGGAGTAGACAGATAATTTTCTTTTTTTCAGGTGGCTCGGATTTTGGAGGTGACTCCTGAGGTGCAAAGGATGATGGGAGTCAGCTCTGGGATGGAGCTGCTTACGCTGCCGCATGGCCAGCAGCTGAGACTGGACCTGCTGGAGAGGTGAGTCAGGAGTACAGACAGTGTAGGCCAAGTATACAGGGGTCTACAGTTTCAGTCATTTGGCAATATCTAAAGCTGCATTTTTTCAAATGTCCAGCAGAGGGCCAAGCAATCTGATTGTGTAGAAGTCACTAAGGAAATGCTTCTTCTGCTCCTTTTCTTTTTTACCATAATTAACATTTTCCTGATGTGTTTGTTGTCTCAGTCTCTAGTTTACAGTCTTCTTCAATACAGCATGGTGTTTATTTAGTAATTTATGGTCCATTTAGAATAACCATGGCCAGAAGGCAGGGGAGAATTTAGAGTTGGGTTCTTTCTGCAGAGGTGTAGGATTGCTGTCCAACAGGCTAAAAAAAATATATACTGAAACATCTCCAAACCAGGTCACTGAAACTAACACCACCATCTACAGTTCATCCTGGGGTTTCCTCTCTGCTTTCTCCTGCAGGTTCCACACCACAGCAACCATGTTGGCAGTGCATGTGTTGGGCTGCACAGGGTCAACCGAGGAACGAGCCGGCCTGCTGCACAAAATCATCCAAATCGCTGCAGAGCTAAAGAGCACCATGGGAAACATGTTCGGCTTTGCTGCTGTCATGAGAGCATTGGAGCTGCCGCAGGTGAACATGCATCCTATGATGTGGTCTTATGTCTTCTTTGTAATTATTTCCCATTGGTCACTTTTGAGGACTTGAATGTTGTTCTTCCACCATTGTTTATGCAATTTCGCTAAAACTGAACCCAGAAAAGGCCTATTTATGGGGCCATTATGGTTGCATGGGCTGCTTATTATCATTATTGGTCCCTACATCATCGAGCCAACACTGCCAGCATATCATGACCAATTAAGTTGTCTGGCTCGGAGGACAGCTTGTTTTCACGAAAATGAGATTGTAGTTCAGTCTTCATGACAGTGATTAAAAAGATGGGTGGGGTTTGTGACTACATGTTTTCATTAATGGGTTATTGACCTGGAAAGTCCAAGTCTGTGAATATCTTCTAACTTTACTTAAGTGTCAAAGCTGAATCTAAGGATGTAGTCTACTCTGAAGGCCCAGTCAGTCTTAAAATGGTAGCGATGGTCAGTATCATTGGTGCTTACTCCCATTGGGGACATGGAGCTGGAGGCATACAGACAAGTCTCCACATGCATACAAATTGCTGCATGCATTTGTCGATCTTCCGCAGCAGGAGTGTAGCAAAAGTCATGTGAAAGAATACATCTAATCTAGTGGCCTGATATTCACAGATCACATGATCTACGTATACAGAGTAATGTATGCATTTGCAGATTTATTTTACAAATTTGTGGATCTGGTTACACACACACACAAATCAAAATACACATTTATAAATAATTTTGCTACAACAATTACCCCATACCTATAGTGCTTGGTTTATCCACACTCAGCTCATTTGGGCTCATGTTATACCACAGCAGTCCTCATTAACTTCATGATTTAATGGCACCTTTCTATAGGCCTGGACGATATAGAAAAAAAGCATATCGATAAAAAATAAATCATATTGATCGATATCGATAATTATCGATATAATTATTATAATTATTTAACATATATTTTAATTGCAGCCCTGGATGTTTTATGCTATTGCTTAATGACCTACTTTTAATAAAGAACAAGCACTGAATTCAAATTCAAACCTTTATTCAACCACCCTTTTTATTTTACAACTGAAAGTTTTTTAAAAAAGAACTAAAAAAAAAGAAATCAACTTAAGTGGCCTGAGTGACGTCAGTAAATACTGACAAACATAAAGACTAAAGTGACCAGAAAATCTGATAAATAAATATTTAAATAGTCTTTTGATGAAAATAAACAAAACAAACAAATATATAAATAAACAGAATAGCTTTAGGTGGGAATAGCATACTACCACTTCTAACTGTGTGGGAAACTGCCCACAGCCTGGTGTCTGAACACTGAAATATTTCTCCCGGGGTCGGGAGATTTATTTTTTTTAATTATCATGTGATTGACTTAATACACAAACTAAGCACGCGAAGCAGGGCTTATCCACGCCGGTGTTGTGTCGTAGAATGCACCCCTGCCGAATGCACCCCCTGCTAGCAGCCATGATCCAAATACTCGCGTCTTTGTAAAATATGAGCTCATTTTCTTCCACTCTAAGAAGCTAATGAGTGGTCGGGATGCAGGGATGCATTCTACAGCACAACACCGGAACGTATTTCCTCCGCACCCTTCTCACCTTATCAACCCCTGACCCATTTTCATGCCTGAAGCGCTGTGTTTGAGAAATACTTGCGGCCGGGCACTTCATATCGCGGGTCGAGAGTGGCTAGAAGCTGGTCGAAGCCAGGCTTTTCAACGGTAGTTATTGGCAGTATGTCCCTCGCTATGAAGCATGTTACTGCATGGGTGATGTCCTTATGCCGCTCGGACGCTCTGTCGTATTTTGCAAGAAACGAAGTCCAGTTTGGTCTGCTTCACATGCTTTGTGCTGGTGCTGGCAGCGGTTCCAGAGGATTCCTCCGACGACGTGGAGCCGCGGCGCGACCGACACAGCTCGTACTCCTGCGGGTGCGATCGGTTTAGATGGTAAAACAAGTTGGTTGTGTTACCAGACTTGGTTTTTACTAATTCTCTGCAAATTTTGCAAACGACCGCTGTTTGCTTCTTGTCAGACTTCTAAAAACCAAAACATTGCCATGCTGGAGAACTACTGAAACCTTTTTTCGGGACAATGTCCTCCGCTTCTCCTTGCTGTATCATTTTTTCTAATACACGTGCTGTCTGTTGTGGTTTGATAGGGGCTGGGCTTGGTGCCGTAGCGTACCTGGGTCTGCGTTTGTGATTGGTTGGGAGGAAGTAATGACTGTAGTAAAAGCTACATGATAGGCTATGATGAAAAAGAAATGGAAACTGTTTTCTATCGAACTTTTTATCGACCCGTTTTTTTTCTATCGCACCACACGTCTATCGATCGATATATATTGTTATCGAATTATCGTCCAGCACTACCTTTCTAACACATCTGTTTTCTTGAGTGTGAGTTTTTAATCCTAAAGTTTATTCCATTCTATTTCACTCAGTCCCCTGCAATAAAACCTGCAGCCTGAACCCTACTCACCTCTGTACATGAATAATAAATGTTCACCATGACCAGTTTATCTTCAACGGGTGCCATAAAAGTGCAAGCTTCACTAAACAGGAAATCAGTGTCCTGAGTTCAGATCATGAGTCCGATAAGATGTCTAAGACTGCTAATCTTTATAACAGCAGGGGGGGAAACTCTGTTAAAAGTCATAGTTGTTTTTTATTCTTATATAAGATAGTTGGCAGATAAATATTAACCCTGATGTGTCTTTGTCTCTCAGGTGTCCCGTCTGGAACAGACCTGGATGGCATTACGCCAGCGACACACAGAGGGGGCGATTCTCTACGAAAAAACCCTAAGACCGTTTATGAAGAGTCTGAATGATGGCAGAGGTGCTCAGAAACTTCTGTCTGTTTTTGGACAGCAGCTGAACACTTTTAAAGGTTAAAAATTTGACTCTCTGTGTTCTCTCATCTGTCTGACAGAAAGTTGCCCACTGTCCAACACCTCTTTCCCCCATGTCCTCCCCCTACTGTCCCTCCTGGAGAAAAGCGCGGCAGTGGGTGAGGGGGCGGAGCCATGGGAGACAGTGGAAGTCGGGGTGGATGTGGTCATGTTCCACCTGGGGGCAGCGAGGACCATCGCTCAGCTCGGGGGAATCTACCGCTCTAATGCAGAGAGCAAACTACAAGGTAAGCATGATCTGTTGGTGCAGGTTCTGTAGAAAAGCACTGAATCATTTAAAGGTGCAAGGCTGAATGTTTCCGCCTTTGGTTCCAGCCCCCCAGCACGCCAACTGCTAATGTAAGGTTACATTAAAGCAGTTGGACATCCTGACTCCAAGGCTTTTCATCTTCTCTGTCACCTCTCACTCCTCTGATGTCGGTGTTGCTGCTGCAGGTTTCCAAGAGCAGCCAGACGTACTGGAGCTCTTCCTCACGGACTTCCAGATGAGGCTGCTGTGGGGGGGCAGGGGAGCCGAGGAGAGCCAGGCCCTGCGGTACGCCAAGTTTGACCAGGTGCTGACAGCACTGTCCAACAAGCTGGAGCCACCCGTCAGACTGCACTGACCCTGGATCTGCTTTAAGTAACTCAATATACCTGGACAAGCTCCAGCTGTGTTCAGATGGTCTTAAGGGCATGGAGCTGTTCCTGAAGCCTCACCAGACAGGACTGTTTTCAAAAAGAGAGAGAAGCTTTAGGATCAAGTTTACTTTGGATTTTGAAACCAAACTGTCAGTCCCTGCAGCATTTCACTTAAAAACACACCATAGAGGTTTATGCAAGTTTACTGCAGCCTTAATTAAACTTGGATCAGTATTTTATGATAAACAGTCAAAGACACATGATCAGGATTAAGGAAAACAGCAGTTAAGCTTAAAATTAAAGTCATAGTTTTAACTCGTTTCTTATATGAAGCCCAGTGTTTCTGAATGAAACTGTCATTGCATGATGTAATGAAAAATAATGGATCAATTAAGGCCCGTACTACACGTATATAGATATTTATTTATCAGGATATTTTTGTTCTCCCGTCTAAATAAATGTATCTGTCCACACGTGTTAGTTTTCAAAAATATCTGCGTCCACACGTAGCCTTCAAACTCAATCCTATCTGGTGCCGCTTAAAAAAAATTCAGGAACAAAGCTACCTGATTGCCCGATGAATCATAACAGCGTGATGCGTCATGCATTGTTTGCGGAAGCTACGCTAGTGCGTCGGGTCCATGTGACGGACCATGTGACCAATAAAACTATTGGGTGCAGCAGACGCCTCTGTGAGCTGGCTGACTGGTGGATGTAATTGTATAAAACAAGGTTCACTTGCAAGGCTGAAATTAGCCCCAAAAGGTCAAAACAAACGTAAAGAATACCCTGTATGTCCACCATCGTTGTTGTTGTTTTTCTTTTTAATTCGCATGCGCGAGCTGCGGTTTGACGTCATCGATCCGTAAAAGTTCAACCACACGAATCCGCTTATACGGATATTTTTTTATTGCTCCACTTGTTTTTTCGGATTCAGATTTATCCAGTTTGAGTGTTCTAAACTCCAGTTTTGGTGTGGAAGGGAGGCCTAATCGGACATAAATATGTGCGGTTTGAAATATATCGGCATTCGTGTAGTTGGGGCCTAAATCTATGCAAATGTCACTGCTCAGAGCTGCTGTTTTCGAGTAAAACCTTTGTGCTTCTAGAGGTCTGTCTCTAATAAAAGCCTGCTTCATATAAAGACCTGGTACCTGAGGCAATAAAAGAAAATAAAAGACCCATCTTACATTAGTAGACTCATGGTTCTCTAATAATAAAATTAAGCTGATGGCAGCAGCAGTAAACCAACAACTCTCTATCTGCAAGGAAAATATCGGTTTTAGGGAAGGAAGTCTTTTCTATGATGCCTCAGACACTTAAAATAAAAATGAGTTGGTCAGTGACAAAACAGGGGATTTTTGCAAAGAGGTACTTTGCAGCCATTGTGGCCTGTTCTACTGCTGAGGGCTAAAGCAATCTATTTAAATTCAGAATTACCCATAAAATGCCTGAATATCTCAGTGGACTTTGTTTAAACCAATGAACCGAAATGTGAAGATATGAGTGTCGAGGAGTTTTGTGCAGAGCTGTTGTGTTTTTTTTCATTAAGGGTAAAACATGATGTTACAAGAATCTGAGATTTATTTTTCATCACAATAATGAGAGAGATAATAATAAACAGAAATGAAGCTGTGCCTTACTCTGCTAGCACACTGTACTGAAATGTTTTTATTCTGTCTGAACAAAAAGGCTGGACCTACATTAAATCTATGACTGAACTATCTGTCTGTAAGGTTGTACAAACCCATTAATACAATAACGTTGCATTTAAATTACAAGTTTTGTACTGTATTTATCATCATGTGTTAAGCTGTAGGATTTTTTTAATATATAGTGAATATTTAATGATATTACTGAAGACTGACTGAGTTCTAGGATCTGTTAACTTTCAGTTTAAATCTTGATTTTTAGTTTTCTTTAATTGTCTCTGTAAATTTTTACACAGTAATTAAACTGAAAGGGAATCAGCACTGACACACGAGTAGAGCACACAGGTACAGAGTATTTTACCACAGTACAGTATCAATGTCTAGTATTTGTCTAAATATGTCAAATGTAAATAAACGTGTTTATCTCACTCTCAGGTGTCTGATAAAATCATGAACCTCTGAAGCTCATTTCTCAGCCTCTGTTGAAGCTAATTCGCTTTAACTCATGCTGCAGATTGTAAATAAAACTCCAAAAAAATTACTCTAAATTAGTCAGCAGTATGATGACTAATTTAGTGTGTGATAATACCTGATTTATCACATTGACTTAATCTTACTGTCAGGAGTGGACCCAAGGGTCAACCAGGGGTGACTGCCCCTCTCTGAAATCTGCCTCACCCTCAAATCCTTACCTAGGATTGGCTTTTTCTCTGTCAGCTGAAATCTACTTCAGTGCTTTTTAATTTGTCTCAGTAGTATTCAACCATTAATCTCTCCAAACGTTATTCTGATGCTTGGTCAGTTATGCATAAAAGGGGGGGAAATTGTGCCCACAAAGATCACAGATACTTTTGCTTACAACAATACAATAACGCAATAACGCTTCTTTTTTTTCTTTTTTTTTTTTTTGTGATTTTATTTTCCTCACAGGACTTCGGTTCATGACAGAAGATTATTATCTCAGCGCCATAAAATGTATTGTCCGCTCCTGAATTATTGGCTCGTAAATATCATGATAATAATTGTGAAGATAACAGCCGTTTCATGTTTTACTCGAACAATGTTCCCTTTTCCCCCTCATTTTTCATATTTTTTATCACAACTTTCTATTTCAGCGCCACATTTTGGGTCTATTTATGTATTCAAACTTACAATGGAATATATATTTATACATTATAAAAAGTGGACTGTATTGTGATTAAAAATGAGTCGACACCTTTTCCAGATCCTCTATTTACCGCTTTTCCGTCTGGACTGTGATCCTCCAACGTGTTCTGCACTACGCTTCATGCTCTCTCTCCTTCGTGGGAAATGTAGTCCTTTTCATTACGTCATATGATATTTGTGTACGCAATTCTTGAAGCAGAAAAACTACAAACTTACCGGGCTTATCAGGAAGTTTCTTAGGGTTTTTTTTTCTCTGCCAGCTGGCAGACAAAATGTTAGCTACCCTGTTAGTGATATTCGTTTTTTTCAGCAACCCTGTTTGTGGTGTTTTTCAGAAACTTTACTGCACCATTTCAGAAAGCTGCGAGTGTGATTTTAAGCCGAATATCAGAGGTAAGACTGGCGTTCTGAGCTAGCTACTGCTGCTGTTATCCTGCTAGCTTGGCTAAAAATAAGATGTGCTTTAAGTCTGGTTGGCGAACAAACGCACAAATGAATACGTAAGATCAATTTTGTAAGTGCGCAGTATTGACCGAAATGTGAGGATATTTTTTTACCGGTTATTGTAATAACTACCACGTTATTTTGCTGTAATGCAAGCTATGAAACAGGAAGTCTTCTCTGCTGATAAACACTGGAGATTCTCATTCTAAGCATTTTAAGTTACGACCTGGGTCCAGCTCGGGTCCGAACTCGGTTCTAATGAGCCCTATTAAATGTCACTTTAGTATTCTGTGGTGGCTGACATTGTTATATGTCAGGGTAATCGAAACCTTTCTGAATGGAGAGACGAAGTCAATGCAAACCATAGACTGTATATTGTATGTACAGTATATAAGCAGAATGTGTTATTGACGATAATTCCTTAAACTATTGGTCCGTAAATCATGAATAACTGTTATAAAATTAAAAACAACAACAGTTGTAAGTGTATTTTAAGCACATTTGAAACACAGTTTTTACAAACATACTCAAAAACACTTAAAAATAATCAGAAAAATGTTCATCTAATTTCTCTTTTAGTTAAAGGCCAGTGTAATGAGGGGGAAATAAAAGATACCCGGTCAGCACTGAGCTACATCCAGACTTGGGTCATTTTCATGTAATACACAAGTTTTTCTGACACAGTAAACTGTCATTCAGGTGTGTTTCCAGGTTAGTCAGTAACATTACTTCCTCGTTTTTTTATTATAATTTAATCCTGACATTCAGATATTGAATTTTCCTCTGGGGATCAATGAAGTTCTTCTTATTCTTAGATCTGGAGTGGGATCTCTACAAGAATCTTTACGGACAGCATCTGGCCCAGGATATTGTGTCTGAGGAAGTAGCGAGGTTCCTTCAGAATAAAAGCCCTGAGCGGCCCCTGGTGTTGTCCTTCCATGGCTCCTCTGGGACGGGGAAGACACTGGTCAGTTCCATGCTGGGAAATCATCTCTACGGCTCGGCCATGAGCAGCCCATATGTTCACCAGTTCATCCCCACGCTGCACTTCCCCTCACCTAAGCGGGTCAAGGAATACAGGGTGAGTCAGGGCACAGCTGATCTGGATTTGATCGCTCTATCACATCATGAAATATAGATTAAATGTTCCCTGAGTAACAAAAGTAAAATTTAGGAGTGCTTTTTACAGAGTGCTCCACTTTGTATTCCTTGGAAATAGAATGATGGTGGTAAGATTTAAGCCAAAGAGCTTCTGTAAACATGTATTTCTCTCCTCTGGCCTGTAGAGGGAGCTGAAGAGCTGGGTACAGGGGAACCTCACAGAGTGTGCTCGCTCTGTCTTCATTTTTGACGAAATGGAAAAAATGCCTCCAGGCCTCATTGACATCCTGGAGCCTTTTCTGGGTCCCTCTCATGTTGTGTTTCGTACCAACTATCGTAAGGCCATCTATGTTTTCATCAGGTACAAATGCCTCCACCATCAAATCTACAACCACTCTGAGCACCAGACTGAAGAGGTCCACTTGAAGTCCCTTTGGAAAACACCTTTCTCAAGTCTCAGAGTGTGTTTCATGTTTCTTTGCAGCACTGCAGGAGACGAGGTGATTAATAAAGTCACTTTAGAGAACCGGCAGGCGGGGCAGGACCGAGAGGAGATACAGTCAGCTGACCTTCAGGAGGCCATTGCACAGACGGTTTACAACAGCAACTCAAGTAAGTGTCTGTACTGATGTATCTGTAAATAATTAAAAATTATATTAGTCTGATTTCTTAATCCTCAAAACTTTCCCATTAGCACCTCAAACTGGAACTCCTGAAAAGTGCAAATGTCCATGTATTAACCAGAAATCCCAGGACGCCAGTGAGTAATCAAAGGGCATTTGCCATTTGAAGGCAGGATATTTACGCCACTGTTACTCCTCATGTGTGAATCGCATGGAGGTGTAATTTGGGGGTGAAGTCATTCGTCCTATGCTTCTCCTTCAGAGGAAGTAACAGAGGAGGAATGAGGGTGGACAAAGGAAGAATGAAGGAGGATGAAGGTGGGGGGGTTGGGGTGAAGGTGGATGCAGCTTCATGTTTTCTGGCTAAAACTGAGCCTCATCAGTACCCCAACAGTAAAGATTTGTAATGAGCTGACATTGGTCTATTTTGGTCTATTTTAATCTCACACAGTGAGTGTGAACTTAATCTGTGTTTTTTTTCCAGGTGGTTTCTTCCACTCCAGCATCATCCAGCAGAAGCTCATCACACGCTTCGTTCCCTTCCTGCCGCTAAGCCGACGACACGTGGAGCGTTGCACCCGCTCGCAGCTTTGCCAGCGGGGCATCTGCGACCGCATTGATGTGGTGGAGGCAGTAGGGGGCGATATCATCTACACTCCTGTCCAGGGGCAGTACTTCTCCTCTACCGGCTGCAAGGCCATCCCTGCGAAAATTAACCTGTTCCTCTGAGCTCAAGGGGGTGGGGTGGGGACTGCTTATATTTTGAAAGACTGAAAGGGAAACAGTCCCTCTGAGGTGAGTCCGTGATGAGGAGCAGGACTCAGAGTCTGGCTAGACCAGATTCTCCCACACAAGGGTCAAATGTCAGGATTGCTCTGGAGCAGGCAGGGATATTCTGCACTCGGAGTTGGGTTTCAACCCACAACCCCACGATTCAGAGCAGATTTGTACCGAGTTTCCTTAAAGGCATTGCTGATTAGTTGATGTCCAAAACGATGGTCCTGTCAGCTCTACCTCAGACCGGGTCTACAAGTAATCTGGGAGGCCTTAAAGCAGTACAGAGTGGTTTCACATTAAAGGTACAGTTAATTTCCCATCTGTGGAAGTGTTGAAGCTTTTAACCTTTTTTAGCGACCTGTCTTTTTTTGCTTTCACACAGCAGGGAGCCTAAGGAAGTACTTAAGCTTGTCATAAGTTTGCAGACTCAAAAGAAGAAAATTCAATCATGCTTTAACAGCTGTACATTTTAGTGGAATAGTTGTAAGGGTCATAAAAGTTGGCTGATTTAACATGTTTCAAAGTTGCAATCCATTTGATATTGAGAAACTGAGATAATGACTCGCAAACTTTATGTACATTTAAATCGAGATGATGTTGGAATGTGAAAATATAAAACAAGTGCAACTCTTGAAAAGTACCCTATAATCCCAAAACCAGAAAGATGTTGGGACCCTGTGTGAAATATTTTATTTAAAGCAGAATTTGATTGTTTACATATAAATGAAAGCCAAATTTTGGTAGAAAGTTGTGCAAAGCCAAAATATCTGATGTTTCATATAAAAACAATCTGCTCATTTAGAATTTGATTCCAGCTAATGAGGTGACTTTTCAACAGGTTAGTCACATGAGTAGGTATAAAAAGGACATTCAGAGAGGCTGAGTCTCTCAGAAGGAAAGATGGGAAGGGGTTCACCACTCTGAGAGACTGCGTGAGCTAACAGTTCAACAGTTTAAGAGGAAATCAGGTAGAAACAGGGTCCAGAAACACCAGAGACTTCTCTGGACCTGAGCACATTAAAGCTGGACTGAGGGGAAGTGGAGAGGAAAGGGACCACAATGACTTATTCAGAGAAGACCATATTTCAGGAGGACAATGACAAACCACAATCTGACAAGAGGGATTACAACAGCATGGCCCTGTAGTAGAATTGTCCTGCTGAAAAACTGGTCTGCCTGCAGCCCTGACTTGTCCTCTATTGAAAACATTTGGAGCATAATGACACCAACATCAGGACCAAGGAGACCCTGAACTGTTGAGCAGCTGAAATCCTCTATCAGGCAAGAATAGGACAACATTTCACTATCAGACTCCAGAACCTGGTCTGCTGGGTTCACTAAGGTGTACAGCGGGTTGGAAATAAAGAACTGAGGACACACGATGAGAAACATGAACCTAGAACTACTTTTAAGGCACATGTTACAGGCACCAAATTAAAAATTAGGAAAAAAAATCTCCCATTATTAGCATTTGATGTGTTGTCTTTGCACCTTTCTCTGTTACATATTTGCTTTTAATAAATTTCATACCATGAAATTCTTTTTTAATTAAAAATTTTAATGATGATCCCAACTTCTGTAGAACTGGGGTTCAACAAAAAGGGCCAGAGTTTGAAAATATAGAAATCATTCTCTTTGTCAGACTGTAAAAGTATTTTTTAATCAGCCTCCTAATTATTCTGATTATCAGACAAGAAAAAACTAAACCAGCAGTGCTGAACCAAGCGTCATACCTGATGTATTTAAACTGTTGACCTGGTTTTTATGGTCTTTAGTGAGGTGTCTGAAGAATGCCACATTTATTTAAATACATAGATGAAATCTGAAAAAAGGCGAATTTTACTTGAACATGTTCTTACACTGCTGCCTGTATCTGAGTGGATGAAGCCGTTTTGGAGCTCATTCTCCGCTCTGCCACCAGGTGGCAGTAAAGTGTTTTTACCACAGTTGGAAAAGGTGACGCAGAGTTCACATGCAGCTTTTTGACTCCTATTACTTTATTTGAGTTAGTTCTGTGGAAATAAATCCTTATTTCGTTGCGGTTTTTGAAATAAATGTACTGTAAAGGTAACTCTTGTGTGTTTAAATACAGTCAAAATGCACTTAAATTTCACAGAGGTGGACCTGAAGCGTTATTCAGATAAAAACCGTTTCTCTCTTTATTAACGCTCAGAGTGATTCAGAATTGCTTTTTGCTCTGCCGAAATAAAAACCTAGATTCAGGAATCTTGCCACAGCCTTCATCTTAATAAATTTTTCCTGTCATTTGTTGTTCAATAATGTTTGTATGTCATTTGCAGCGGGGAGACAGACTATTTAATCCATGGAAACCAAAGCTTCACATGCTCATCAGTTTTTATTTTGGGAGTGAGATGTGGACACTGCAGAAAGAGCACCGTGCAAACATCCACAAAACTCCCATCAGTATCAGTTTAGGTCTGATGGTGTCTTCACCTTTAGACTTTTACCTGAGTTAGTCAGATAAGTTACCTAGACTGACTCTGATTTCATCCTCTGTTCCTGACTTTAATGACTGAATCTTCCTCTGAGGCCAAAAGCAGCTTCAGGTCCCACATTGTGTCAAAAAGGTGAAATAAAGTTTCAGTACAGACTTTAGAAATAAACACAGATAAGTGATCTTTATTCAGTTCACAATTATTTCACAGTCCATGGTTCCACATGATTTTACATTGATTTCTACTGATGTCATCATTTTCATGTATCACTTCACCATTTTCATGATCAGGTAAAGCCGATCCAATTTATTTAAAAAACCTCCAGATCATCGAACATATTTTCACTCCTAGCCAGCTCTCACTTTGTTTTCCTGTAAAAAAAAAAAAAAAACTTTTGGTATTTAATGGGGACTGGAGGAGGGTGTGTCTAGAAAGAGGTGTATGTTGATGACATGATGTTTATCTTCAGCTTTGAATGATGGAGATCAAGTAGAGCTGCAGCTCGTCACCTTCTGACAAGGACAAAGATGCAAAATCTCTGACAGAGACTAAGTTTCAATATCTGCCTCTGCAGGAAATTCAGGAGATTCTCCACTTTTACAACATGAATCAAACATTTATTTGAAGTTTTAAAATTCTTTATTCCTGATTTTCTATTTGGACTTCTGTGGACCTGAGCCTGTTTAAGATGTACTGAGAGGATGTGGGAATCCAGCCCAAGGACTGATCAGCCAATATTTGAAGATTTGTGACATGTGCGATGACAAATAAATTCAATTTGTAATCTGTAATCTGTACTCTGAATCTGTTGTGAAACAATTATTAAGCTGCATTACCTTTTTATATTTGATTTCTTGACATTTTTGTAGTTGGCCTTCTGGGCCACTGTAGTTCTCAGACCTGAGGATAAAGTTTAAAAGTTTTGGATTCAAATGAAATTTGAAAACAAAGTCAGCGATGAATTACTGTTGTTATTCGTGCCCAAATTAATTTAGAGTCAGACCATCCTCATCTTTAACTGTCTGGTTGTATCTGTGATAGGGGACTGCATTAGCTCTGCAACACAGACGAATCCCTTACATCTGTGACAATAAAGTTTTGGATGTCTTGGCTTAATTTGGTATCTTCATCGGTGTCTGAACGTTGACTCTTCACCTGCTGCAGCTAAAACATCCCTGATCTCCTAACAGCACCCTGCAGTCTCCTAGATACATGCCACATCTCTTTGTGATCCCATCGTGATGACTTCATTAAACCCCTCCTAAAATCAAACCCCGCCTGCCCACCAGCACGCAGGCGGAGCAAGGAAGAGGAGGGGATCGAAGGTCAGCTCAGGGGCCTCTTCAACCCAGCTGCTGCATCACCATCTCGGTGCTGCTGCTCATTGTGACACACACATTCACAATAACGCCAGAATGACCACTTTACATACATACATACGCACACACACACACCTCCTCTGACCTCACTGTGTTTTCACACGGCCTCTGCAGAACAGCTGGACAAGTGGGCGAGTGAGCAGAGCTGGAAACAGAGAGAGAGAGAGGGGAAGATGGCAGAGAAAAGAGCGTTCATGTCCTTTCTTTTCTACTTTCACTTTCCTTTTCCTCCCTCTTTCCCCTCCTTCTTCCTCTCCTCACCCTTCACAAATGTGGTGCAAGAATCCACTTTCACCGCCTAGTTTTTCCTCCTTACTCTTTCCCAGCCTCCCCATCTTCCACCCCTTCATTTATTTTATTTTATTTTATTTATTTATTTATTTTTTTTTTTTTTTTTTTTTTTGGGGGGGGGGGGGCAACAATGGGACGCAGCTCCTTCCTCCCCCACCTCTTCCCCCTTCCACATCTGTGAGTGCCCCTCTGTCTCCTTATTCTTCTCGCTAACCGCTCCATTATTGTCCGTCTTTCACTTGTAAATGTGGCCAGCGATACTTCTGATAGGTCTTTAATGCGTGCGGCCGGGGTCAGTGGAGAGGTGGGGGCAGTAGAGGAGGGGGAGTATATACAACAAGGGGGAGGGTCAGGGTTGAAGGGAAGGAGGGGGGGTTGGTTTAGGGAGCCCTGTGCTGGAGTGTGAGGCGACAATTGTGACAAAGAGTTAAATCCTTTTTTGTGTGTGCAGTCATTTGGGACGGTTGGGACGGACCCGGCTCTCCCTCACATTCCTTCAGCCTGCTTCCCCCCAACATGACGGAGGAAGATGACTGAGTGAAAGCTCAACAGTCAAAACGTTAGTTAGTGGTGGATCTTTCGCTCTCCAAATACTCCAAAATCGGTCATCCTTCATTTTCATCAGCTGTATAGAAATATCAGAGTGGTCCAGGCGTCAGGTGTAAAGGGGTTCATAACTTTCACACCAGTCACTCACTGGTTTTTCACCAGCTATATGCAATCCATAACATTACTCAATGGCAGGGAATTTTCCTGCTGCAACCTAGCCTTAGTTGGACATTGGTCCTTGCTTGGATCTCAGCTGTTGAAAGAATAAAGCAATCTA